CACCATCGCAATCGCACCATCGCTTTATCGCTTCTTCGCACCATTGACCCAAACCTCGATGATGCGATAGTGAACTGCGTGGTCAAGATTCCATACAAAACCCTAGATACCTTAAAATTTTTCTCCATAATAATGTTTGACTGTACTTCATTATAACCAATTTGTGATTTTCTCATGAAATTCAATAGTCCCATTCCACAAAAGTTTCAAAAAAAATCCTAGGAAAAAATAGATAAACTCCAGCTTATACCAGAGGCCATTATTCTGGAGACGTCCTTTAGAACTGTTGTTGAGAGCTGCCAGTGTCTGTACAGGGGAAAACATAGACTACGTCTCATGCATGACCTCATGACCTCCTCTATACTGGTAAAGGTCTAAAGTACAAAACAGTGTCTTTACTTTTGTATCCACTGAGAGAGATTTTCAAGATGTGATTATTTTTTTACCTTTTCTTCCTACTTACAAAGTTATAACAGAATAAATTTTGTCCCATAAGACCTATAATTAAGACTATTAATAAAACTATTATCAACTTTTAGCCTTCTAAGATCATCATTGACATTTACTTGACTTACATCTAACCAGGAAAGAGTGGCACTTAGTTTGCAGATAGTCCATCCAGATTCCACCTGATTTAAAAGAAACAAAAGGCTTACAGGTTACATTGCTCAGAGAATTCATGTTCTTAATCGTGAAAATTTAACATGATTTAAAAAAAATTATCAAATTTAACTTTCCTAACAATTCTGAACAAATCATTCAGGAAAATAAAAAAAATGACACAACAAATTGAATTGATTGAAATTTTCACAATGTCATTGTTATCTTATTTAACTGACAGCAGAGCTAAAAATGTAAATACTTTTCATGGGCTTTTTTGCTGAGGTTCATTTTTTTTCTAAAACACTGTCAAAATTCAAGCACTTTTCAAGAACTGGGTCAAAAACACTTTTCCTGGTCCATTTGAACCTTGAGGTAGCCACAATAGCGATACATTACTGGTTCTTTATTGAGATTACCTGTAAAACAAGTCTGCATGTGTTAGAATTACTTACATTGTCTTCACCCTCGTTTATTCGAAAATTGTAGGCGTAACCAAAGAGAATGTCAATCAAACCCAGACACAATGTTGTAACCATGGCTTCATCCAATAAATCTTATTTCATTAAGATCAAAATACATTTCACTCAAAGGAGACTAGCAAGGTCAAATACATATATACTGTGAATCACTTTTTATTTGCAAGAACTATATTTTCAAGAAAAAGTCTACCAGCTCACAGAAAATTTATTCTTGAGAATAATTATATTGGTAAGGATTATACACTGTATACATTAATCACAACATCTCATGAAAATTTTGTCTCGCTTGTAAATAAACAATAGATAGCTTTCTAGTGAAAAATAAATTGATCTACAGTATTTCAAGTAAAATGTTGCATAAATATTGACTCATTTTTGTACATGCAATTATGTTAAAAGTAAAAGTTCTTAATATACAGAAATCAATATGTTACAATAAGAAATTGCTCACACAAATGAATAATTATAATACATGTAGGTAATAACTACAAATAAAATTAAAAAGATACATTCTTTCTTGGGCAAACCTTTCATCTTATGCAGTTCCTCATCAGTGAATTCAACTGAAAAAAAATAAAATGATTCACATAATCACCACAAAATTATGTGAAAATAGATGGCCCAAGGATTTAGACCCATGGATTGAAAAAATGTGAAAAGATTATGGTTGACATGGTTACAGAGACATCAATATGTAAAATACAAATGCAAGATATTGAATTACACAAAAGTGACTGTGAGGAATTCTTACTTTTCTTTGATGTGTCTTCTTTCTCTTTCTCAAAACACCATGGCGGCTCATACTTCATTATCTGTTGTATGTTCTCATCATCATACAGATCAGCTCTATCATGAATGTCAGTAAAATCTCAGAAAAACATGAATAACTTACATGTTTAAAGTATTGTATACATACAATGTACGGGTGTCAAAAAAAATTACACTTTCAATCATCTATAACTTTATCAAATCAAAAGCTTTCACAACGATATTTTGTCAACAACTATTGTATTAGCATACATTTTATCTGACAAACTTCCGGAAAATTCTGTTAAAAAATCAGACAATTAAAATGTCCTAATGACGTCATCATATTTTGAACATGGAACCTTCATGTGAACAGCTGGTAGAAATTGTCAAAATTTACTATAGGTCTAAATCTGCTACTTTAGTCATTAGAACCATGAGAAAACAACATCCTGTAATGAAAGTGCTCAGGAGAATACTAATTTACAGATTTGTGAGGGAGTTTGAACTGAAGACCGACAGAGTACATGCACAAATTGAATCATTCACAGTACAAGTACTCAGAATAGCTTAATTGAATCAATCAAGCCTCAATACAGTAAAACACAAGAAATATTAATAACAAATGAATTAAAATGCACATAGAAGCCTATCTATTTCTCTTCATTTTCTGATAACTTACAGGTAATGATCTGGGTCAAACTTCTCTGTTTCTGCGTCTTCTCTCATTGTCCGTCTGTCTGTTGGTGGGCAGTTCTCAGGATCAGACAAACCCACTATTTCATAAACTTCATCCTGAAATGCATATGCCAGAAAGAGCAAACTAAATGAAACATCTGAGAAAATTATTTTCCAAGCAATTGACAGTCATTCTTAGTTCAAAAATCCTAATATGATTATTTTTTTTAATAAAATAAAACATCTACATTAACAAACTAGAAAATAATGATATAGCTGAGATTAAATCATATAAATTTGACCAAATTGATCCATTTATTGATAAATATGTAATTTTTACTGGAATAGCATGTAAGTGCAATAAATGACCATGCATACAACTTCAAAGCCTTATTTCAGACTTATTTAATATATGCATATTGAATATTCAACATCATTTATTAATCTTGCAGTTATTAAAAAACAACAAACCTGCAATCTTTTAAACACTCCAGACTTTTGATTGGCAAATCCATACTTTGGACCATCCAATGAGAGTTCAGTTTCTTTATAAGGCTTTTGCTCCACAAACCAATCAAAATCCTCCTCTTTCTCCTCATCAGGCTGAGATCTGTCTTCCTCATTGTCACCTGATTTATTAGGTTCAAAATCATTTACACTTCTTCTTTTAATAAATAAAAACAGTAAAATGAAATTAAGTTATTGTAACTTATCTACCATTCCCAAAGACTTCTATTAAGGGTTTGTTGTTTTTCTGTGTCTTTGGAGTCAGAAGTGAGGTTATCATGTCAAGTCCTTCAAACGTTTCTCCTGGTGTTTCTTTAGGAACCTCGATTGTGAACACACCTAGGATTAATTATACAATACATAATTCATTGTAAATGTCCATATTCAACAATTTTAATGTACACTGTACTCATTGTTACAAAAGATGATTAAAAACTCAGTGGGACAGAGGTATCCTTTGAGATATAAAGGATTCAAAATATCTAAGGTAAAAGAATAAGTGGTTGGGACCTCTAAGTCGCTTTGATATATCCATGGTATTTGAGATATCAGTTTGCAATATCAAAGTTCAACTGTATATGTGTTTAAAAATTCTAAAAACTCAACACTGATATCAATATCATCATGAAAATATGTGCACATGCATATATCAGCCTCTAGGTACATGATGTATCCTTGCACATGTAATATTGTGAATTTCGGTTAAATATTTATTTTTGTGAGGTGGGCCATTGTACATGAGAGCTAAAATGTGAGAAGTTTATGGGGAGCATGGGCACATGTCTTTTTATGAAAGATACCATCTACATTTTAATAATCAATAGAGAAAAAAATTCATTGATTAGGATATTCATGACACCCATGATTATTTGACACCATGAAAGGTAATGATTTTAAAGTAATTAAATAGTCTATGTCAGCTTATTTTGGTGTGTCCAAACCTTTGTCCGAGTCATAGCTGGCTTTTTCATGGCCGTTCTCTAGAATATTCCCGGGAAGTGACAACCTGTCAACCAAAACAAAGTTAAGATTAAAACTTCATGACAATAGAAAGAAATCAGTATATATCACCTCACTAGTAAACTAAACAAGTACACTGTGCAGCCCTCTCCTTTGGGGAGAAGGTGAATATCAATTTTTTAAAAGTCAGAAAGGGCTACATTATTGCAGATAATCGAGAACTTATGTCAATTAAAGTAAAAAAAAAATAGAACATTAAGCAAAATCTTATCAATGAATCTCAAGTGGGCCAAGTCAAGGGAAAATACTGAGTTTAAGATACATGTAGAAAAAGTAAAGGGGACTCCCATCTCATTTTGCCACATCCATACAATATATACTGTTAGAGATAATAATTTTTTTTATTATTTCCTAAAAATTTTATTTTGAATTATTGAAAAAAATAGGGGTGGATGTTGACTACAGAATTGAAGATTTGTAATGGGTATTTTTTCTTTACAGTCATACAGAAATATCACTTTACTAGATATAACATTCAGTTACAATTGATACAAACTTTATTGCCAGACAAACTCAGTGAGAAACTTGAATCAAACTGGAAAATTTAAATCAATATACAGTGTATATGGAATTAATCACCACTTCTTTAAGTATTCTTAATAATTTACATGTATACTATACCTTAAAAAGTATGGTTTAGAGTGAAATCTGAACTCATCACCTTCTATAAAGATTTCAGTGTCTGTTACCTGTAATTTGTAAATTGTATAAATTGACAGTTTCAACAGTTGAATTCTATTCTGAATATCAGACAAAAGGATTCATACACCAATAACACAGTGTTTATTTTATTAATTTTCAAAATAAAAAAAAAATAAAAAATTTTTATCAACATGTTTTTTTCTCTTGTTTTCATCTGTGACTATGTAATGTGTAATTGTATTTCTATGAGTAAGCAATGCCATTTGTGACGTTATACCATTGTACAGTGTATTAAAGTTTAAATGGAAAACTTTAAAGAGGCTGGGGGTGGCAGCCATTTTCAGACTAAAGCGATCTCCTTTAAAAGAAGAGCTCTATATAAAGATTTACAAAAGTGATCAAATTTTAAAACTAAAATGTATGAATTTTTTCTTTGCCAAATGATATTAGACAGCTTACGATACCGTATTTAAGAAAAATAAGTTAAATCTGATGGTTAATTTGTGGTTAATTTGTTGACCCCCCAGCCTCCTTAAAAACAAAGCAGAAGAATGTTTAATTGATCTGCCAATTGACCTCTCATAAATATTGCAGTGCTCTATTAATTTGGCAACAATTCAGGTCTTCCAGTATATAATCAGCTAAATGCACTTATCTTGCCCTGTATTCTTAAGGTTTTTGAATCAGTGGTCTCTACCATTTACATGTATTACATGTAGGGATGTCAAATCGGTCAATTTTCAATACTCGGTTACTCGGACGTTTTTCTGATCGAGTACCCGGGTACTCGGTAAAAGTGTAAATAAATATGAACAAGTAAATTGAAGACTGTAAAACATGGTAAACTCTTGTAGAAATAAAACCAGATGCACTGATAGGAGGCTTATCCGTAAAATTAATTTATTTCTGTTGTAATAATGATGAGCACTTCGTGCCCGACGAAATTTAATATAACAATTTTTAAATTCAATTTATTTATCAATCTATTTATCAGATAAACACAAGAAATAAAATCATAAGTTGTTCACACTGACAGTGTTTTTGTTTAAAAAACATAATTTGCTCCGTAATAGTCTGTAATGTAACTCTTTGTTGCGTTTGACAACCAGGTATCAGTCGTCAGAGCTACGTACAGTATCAACTTGAACTTGATCAAGTTCTCCTAACAGAGCGGATTTACGATTTTAGTACACTTGTTGACCTGTATCCGTATTTATATAATATTACAGTATTTTGTAGTTTGATGCAACGATGGACATCAGTTTTTTTTTTAACCCTTTGCCTTCAACCAGTTGTATTTCATGTAATCAAACAAAACCATATCAACAATCACACGTGTAATATCATTTTTTCCCGTGTTTTTCTCTCTTGGAGAGTGTGACAAAATTATCTAATTTATTTTAATTTAAAACATAATGGATCTTAAACGATGTTCAGTGAAAACAAATAATTAAAGCCAAACAAAAAATAAGGGAAGAAGGCAGCCGAAGGTGACCTCCCATATTGCAGTTACTGTATAAACACTGCCATTAATCATTTAGGCAAACCCTAATTACTGTACGTACAAGTGTAATGAGCATTTTACGTTTTAAAACAGATAGTTTAATGCATTAATAAATAAGTTAAGAAATATTTTAAAATATACATCCGAGTAACCGAGTACCGATTTCAGTATTCTTAAGGTTTTTGAACCCGGTTAACCGGGTACTCTACCATTTACATGTATTACATGTTATTTACATGTATTACATGTACGCCTAGACTTGGGTTTGATCAAGACAGGCTAAGACATATGACAGAAAAAGTGTATCGGACAGTGACTGTAAATAAACTTGAGACCATCAGGAAAACATACCCGTGCATGTGGAGCTTTGATGATAATAGTCAGGGTGTCTGCATCTTGCTTCAGTTGAAAATCTGGTGTCAACATTTTAACTTTGCTAGACTCTATCTACAATTTAAAAATTAAAAAAACAATTTGTTAATCATTTTTGTAACAGATTTCATGACACAGTATCAGAATTATGCCCATGGTACACTATATATCTATGTAGGATTCAATTTAAATACTAAATTGTCTTTGTTCTTTTGTAAGGGAATTTAAAAAAAAAAAAAATTAAATGAAAATGCAGACTAACGTATAGCCAAAATATAAGTAAAACTTTTACATGTCATTATTTAGTCTTAATGTCGGTGTTGGCATGTTCATAATCTTATTACAATTCCTTATCCGGACAGGAAAACAAAACATAACAATAAACATACCAAAACTTGCACATGTGTTCAAAACAGTCTGTGTTGGGAAAAAGAATATTTTTTAACTTGCATACTCCTTTGATTGAAGCGTTTTGGTGATTTTGACTTGAAACTAAGAACTTATCTGTCATTGGTTAAGTAAGTGGGTGTGGCAATAGGCTCTTTTTACTTAGAAACGTAATTTCTTTGACTTTGGAATTGGGTTTTGAAAAATTTTCGTTTTATATCGTAGCTCATAGTAAGGATGAAATTAAACAAATTTGAAAAAGTGCTATTAAAATGACACAAAACATCAAAATGATTCGTAACGTTTTAATCGCCTTGTTTCGTATTGACCAATCAGAGGGCGCTTTTCAACAGGTCATACAGTCACACCATATTTCGTGACGCATTAGGTATTTATATACAACATTGACGTTTGTAAACATCAAGAAGTATTTCGGAAGACTTGTATTAGAATAACAGGTAAGAAGGATAGTCGTAATCCAACTGAATTTTTTTAGCCATTATTTACATTTTTGTACTTTTGAATGTACAATATTGGAAAGAGGAATTCACCTCTGAAAATTCAGAAAAAGCAGTTGAGTAAGATTGGGTGGTTGTGCTGATTTGATCATGGTTTAAACTGCTATATTTCTAATAGATTAGCCTAGATATTGTCAACATGTTTGTTGTGTGGTTTCATCTCTGAATTATGTCTTTATTATAATTTATTTTTTATTAACACCCTCATCCTAAGGGCCCTAGATTGTCCCAAATACCCAGAGTACATGGAAAATTGCCAAGAATGCAAGATTCTGTTTGTATATAGCCTATCTTATTAATATAGTATTACGATATAATATTGATACAAATGAAACATTTTTTTTTATTTACTTTATCAAGCATATTCGAAACCTTTCAAATTTTAATACATGACGGAATCTGAATCAAAACATTTATCTGACCTATTAACCCAGATATCTCAATTTAACCCGAAACAGCCACCTTTGCACTGTGATTGTTTACAGAGTAACAGACATTTAGAAATAATATTAATAAATAAGCCTAAGGTTTTATTGTTATATGCATAGTTTTTGTTTGAAAAATTTATGTGTTCTTTACTTTTTTCCAGAAAATTCTAAGGATTGTTGGGAATGTCAGTGCTGCGGGCATCATGTTCAGGTCCTAAAATAATTGAGAACACATTAGGGGGCCCTTTGAGTATTAAATGCTTTCATCAAAATATAGAAACAAGTCAAACATATTCACAAAAAAATATCAATCCTGAAACAGTGAAAAAATTCCATTTTGGTCAGACACGGAATAAAAAAGAAGACATCTTGAATCGGATAGGAATTACCAGTGCCTTAAAATTCACAGACAAATTAAAAGAAACATATGGAGATGTTTCCAGCAAAATTCTCAAGACTCCAAGCATTGTAAAAGATTACCTAGATAAAGCACCATCCTTATCTATTAAGGAAAAGTTTCAGAAGAAAAAAGCTGTTACTTTTCCAGAAGAAGACAATAATGAAGTTGTATCAAAAGATTTTTCATCACAAATTGAAGAAAGTTCAGTGTTGTCATTTTATGACCCAACTGCAGAAACTGAAAGTAAATATGAACCAGTCAAGTTGACAAAAAAAGAACTGGAACAAAATCTCAGTGAAAATGCTTCCATTCCAAAAAGTCAGGCCGAGGACAAAGGGCTGAGGCATTTACTAGACAGATTCTGGGCCACCACTGCCAAGGATCCTACCACACAAGTAGAAGTGAAGAAAAAAGTGATTGTAAGGAAAGACTATGTATCACGCTCTACTATATCACGAAAAACTTTAGAGCACGTCAAGTTACTAAGCCGGGCAGAATCTTCAGACTCCAAGCTGAAACGTCTGGAAGATTTCTGCCACCATCTTATATTATATCCTGATGAAAGACAAACTGCTATGAAGGTATCTGTTAATTTAAGAAATAAACATTTTCAATGCTTTATAAGTCATGAATGTTTAGCATTGTGAGCACATTAGTAACTTTTAATATTTCTTGAAAGCAAATGTGAAGTGATTGTTTTCTGTATGATTAGTTATATCCCTTTCTGTATTTAAGCATGGAGTGCTACCAGTTCTTCTCCGGATGCAGATGGCCACGTCCAGTGAGTTAGCTCTGAGTGAGATTTCCCAGGCTCTGACCTTGATGGGACATGTCCATCCGCCCAGAGGTCAGGGGGTCAACATACTCACTATAGACGGAGGAGGCACAAAGTGAGATTCAAATTACAAATCAAGTTTGAAATTTAAAAAGAAAAGAAAGAGAGAAATGGACAGACAAACAAACAATTTAACATTAGACATTTCTTTAATCAAAATATAGCAAATATCCACCTTAGAGAGCATGAAATTGAACTTATTATTTTGAAATGATGTGATTTCTTCCTGTTCTGTTACAGTAGAGTTATTTCCCTTTAAAGAGCAAAATGTCAGCACCTTCCTTGAATCCTTTCTGTAATAATCCTGTGACTCAGTAACCTAGTATAAAATACTTTGGTGAATTTTTCAGAGGTTTGGTAGCTCTGCAGACTCTCAGGGAAATGGAGAGACATTGTGGAAAACCGATCTACAAACTGTTTGACTATGTTTGTGGGGTCAGTACGGGGTCCCTTATTCTGGCTATTTTATTCCTGTATCGACGCAGCATTACTGAGTGTGAGGAACTGTACGTAGAATGTAGTAGACAGATGTTTACACAGAATAAGACACGAGGCTACAGTCAACTGGTCCTAGATCACTACTTTTACGATGTAGAACTCTGGGAACGAATTCTCAAGTAAGGCTTACAGTGGAGTTTGTCCAAGTGATAATCAGCAGATAAGAAGATGATTTGATTATTATAAAATGTTAGCAATGTGTGTCCTGAAATTTGTCTTCAAAACTTGACATTATTCCTTGCCTTGCATTTCTAATCATTTTAATCTATTTTGTAACAGGGAGAAGATGGGAGGAAAGTTCCTGTCTGACTTCTCAGAGGATCTTCTGTGTCCTAAGGTAAACAAAGTTCCCATCCTACACGTTAATAAAATAATGTGTCTTCAGTGTTTTACAATGTTCCATTACCTTGGTAGATTTGATATTATCTATGTAATGTCTTATAATTATTCAAAGTTTGTCTCTTGCTTTTAAGGTTAAAATTTGTTGCATTTACATAAAAAAAGTCTTATTGTTTAATTGTGTTTCTCTGATTTCTGATAACCTTGACTTTTACAGTACTCTGCTTTATCTACGCTGTCTAACATCAGCCGTCTACAGAGCTACATGTTTCGTACCTATAACCTGCCCCCGGGGGTGTACTCTATGTACCCTGGCAGCTGTAAACACAGGGTCTGGGAGTGTATCAGGGCCTCATCTGCTGCCCCGGGATTTTACAAACCCTTTATTCTGGATGAATACATTCATCAGGTGAGAATGCAAGTACTATGTGCTTTAGTTAGGATATATATGTATGTTACATATTAGGGATAGCAATCAATTGCAGAATTGCTAATCGGTTAACTGCAAAACATTTCGACCAATTAACCGGTTAGTCATATCAAGATATACATTTTTACATTTTCTTTTCATATACACAAGAAGGCTAAAAAGACATTAGAAGTTAAAATCTGTTTATATTTTGATCGAGGAATTTTATGTTCATAAGAGTATATTTTATTTTAATTTCAATAGACAAGAAAAAATTAAGAAAACCATGAATTTTGCTTGAAAAATCAGATAAGGATAATTTTTCCAACGCAGATGTTAAAGCAGTTAATTCTGCATTGTCACCATAGTCAAAAGTATGTCTGAACTCTCACTTTATTTACAATTTATAACGTTCATTCTAATAAGTTACATATTAATTTAATAGATAACACCGCAAAATATAGACATACTATAATTAAAATATCATTAAAAATCACAGGACTATCTGGGTAACGGCATAATGTTTTAAAAACAGTAATTAACACTTTACGAATGGAACAATTACCCCTGCGATCTCAATCTGGAGAGCTATAATTACCTCCAAATATTCTTAATTATAAGATGTGTAAAAAAAAAACTAAATAAACATCTATACAGAGGTTTTCCTTTCTAAAGAAGAAGAAGGAACTTTAATGAAATTGCGTTGGAATTTACTTTTTTTTTTTTGACTAACCCATTACAGATTTTCTAACTGATTAGCATCTTTTCGACCGATTAATCGATTAACCAGTTACGAATTGCCATCCCTATTATATATATTTTGTAAGTCTTCATGATTGTGTTTTAACTGGATAAACATGCACCAAAAAAAATTATTTCTACTTTCTGATAAAATTATGTGAAATTCTTCTTTTACCTCTGAACATTTCAAAACGTTAAAACTTATGTACTAGTCTAGCTCATTCTGCTTCCAACAGTTTTACTTACAAGGTTCAAAAGGTACAATGAAAGTTTTTAATCAGTTGTCATTACATATCCAGTGTAAGTTACTATAACTACTTGATAATGACAAGTTCTCCTTATTCTTGTAAACAGGATGGAGGTATAATGCACAATAATCCAACCGCTGTGGCTCTTCACGAGTGTAAGCTCCTGTGGCCAGATGAACCCATCCAGTGTGTTATCTCCCTTGGTAATGGTCGCTATGAACCCAACATTGAACTCATGTCTAGTCTCCCATCGGCAAGGAAACAGATTGACAACATAATAGACAGCGCAACAAATACTGAAAGTAAGCAAAAGTATTAAGGAGGAGATTTAATAGCTACCCAAGTTAGGCCATAATAAAAATATTCCTAGATTCTCATCCCTGCCTGCCCCAATTTTATACTCCCGCCTCGATTTTTTTTATTTCTGTTTTTCTTCTTCTTAATTCTGATTGGGATCGGTATTCGTCTACCATTCTACTTTCGGTTTAAATTCCGCAAAAGTCGACTTGATTTTGACAGCTGAAAAGATGGCAATTGCTGTAATACATGCGTATATATTTTAAACAAGGGTCATTGGTTGAAAAGATTGGTGATGATATGAAGTAAGAGATAATTGAACCTTTACTATGACTTTTATTCGGGTATTGTAGATAAAATTACACCGATTGACCAGGTCAATAAAAAATCTGCAGAATTGAAAAAATAAAAAATATAAAATAAAAGCCGCCCGCCTCGATTTTTAAAAAAATTCGGATGAGAATCTAGCAATTTATTTATTATGGCCTTATACAAAGAGGCTTATAAAATGCATAAACTGTTCTAAACCAGGTTATAATTGCAGATCAAAAGTACAACTTGAGTAGCTAGTAATTTATGGGTTATAATTTTTTTCTATGATTAAAATTAATGTCAAAAGATAAAGCAATCTTCAAAATTGCCTTCAGGTTGTACAATTTTTTGTTTACTAATGTCAAACTGATAGAGACATTGAGGATAAACTTCAAACTGACAAGTCATGAATAAAGAGTGTCAATGAGGTAAGAAACATGTCTGGTACACATAACAAGGCGTAGATAGCACTGCTGTTTTAAAACAAACACAAGGTCTCTATATGACTATTGTGTTTACAGGTGTACACATGACTCTACAGGATTTACTGCCCCCAGCCACCTACTACAGATTCAACCCCTACATGTCAGATAACCTCATGCTCAATGAAATCAAACCGGAGAAAATTAAACAGATGCAGAAAGATGCCAGGATGTATCTCCGTAAAAATGAACACAAGATCGTCACAGCCTGTAATCAGCTTATGTTGCCCCGGAGAAAAACCCAGAGACTAACGGACTGGAGCAGGAAACAGAAACTAATGAGGGCACACAAAAAGCCTGTGATTGGTTAAAACTTGGTCATGTGATTTCTTTTTATTCCTTCTCTTATACATGTAGATCATGTGATCAATTCTCGGTGTCTGATTTTTCAATGGTTTTTATACAGAATTTGTTATTTAATATGTACATTAATAAGCAATGGACGGTAGTAACATCTTGTGGTTTTTAAGATTCTTTTCACACAAAATTCCACCATTCTGCTCAATTCATTTATTAATGTTACAAGTGCTTTTTTTTGACTTGCAAATGTGTTATTTCATGACATAGAACATGTAATTTTATGCTGAACTGTTTATGATGCTGAGGTGTATTTGTTTTGGATTTACCACAGAAGAGATCATGAAGTTTATCAAAATGATCAGGGAATTCATTTTACCTCAGGACAGTAATGCACTTGCATTTACTTGTTCTTGCCAGTGTGTTGAACATTTGATGGAGTCAAATGATTAGTATTTAAAAGTGTTTTAGTTTGGATGCAGTTTTCTATCTTATTCTTTACATATAAGGTACTGGATGGATTTCTTATTGTAATAGGATTCATATTTAGGGGATGATGGGGTCATCTACATATACAGTGCAAAAATGTTTAATTTCCATGTAATTATTTCACGTACACTGTACATGTAGTGAATGAAAAGACAGTGAATGTGAATTCATGATTATGCTTGCATAATGTACGGTACTAATAATTAGTACACGATCTATAAACTGTAAAATTTTGCATACACTGAAATATTTTTGAATGATTTAATTTTAACACTTGCCATGTGCACCAGATTTGTTGGCAAGCATTAAACTTTTCCTGAAAAAAACTGAAACAATTTCTCTTCATATCAATCAGTGAGTGGTTCTTGTTTCTGAATTAAGATATTATACTGTCTCATTTCACTTTTCTTGTATTGATCCAAAGAACAAGTTACTACCCGGTAGTACCAGTACCTAGTATTCTGAAATTATTCAACTGTCTTAGGTTTGAATTTAACCGATACATGTAAATGCCTAGTATATGCCTACCTTTTAAAAGGAGATTGTAAAATCCAGCATTATATGTATGTTGCTTTGTTTTGTTTATGTCTTATTGTCCACATATAAATGTTACTGGTCGTGTATATGTATGTGAATGTATGTTTCTGCATCTTACGGTTATAGTGCTGTTATTGTCTAATACTTTAAGTATTTGTCATCTTTGTTCACATTTTTATGTCAATAAATCACAGAAATATGTTTTTTTCCCTCAGTTGAAAATACACATAACTTTACTTGCTTGTTTTAAGCCCTACTGATGTTTTCTAAGGCTTAGAAAAGGATTTTAAAAGGAAGAAAGATTGCTCATTCAGATACTTGCATAAATAAATGTACCCTAGGCTTTGGTAAATAATTAAGAAATAAGCCAGTGTACCAAGGGTCAATCGCCACTAGTGAAATGCAATAAACATTTTTCCAAGGGTACCTTATAAGTAGTGAATGGCAGTAGCCATTGTACCAAGGGTCACATGTAATTAGAGCATATGACAGTCAGCATTTTACCAAGGGTCACATTTAACTAGTGCATGGCAGTATAGGCATTGTACCAAGTGACTGTGTAAGTGCAGGGTAGTGCTTCTAGGGGCCTGCAGAATAAATACTTTAACAGGAAGGAACAGAAAGTTTGAAACATGGCCTGAGAGAGGAACACAGTTTCGTTTTTGAGAGGACGGGGCAATCATCAGATCATATTAAAAAAAATCTCAACTGACCTGAAAATTCTAAAATACATCATAATTGAAAATCAATTTCTGCAAAATATCGTAAACAGCAAATAAAATGTTTACAGTTTTTAATTTTTTTAATGATCTTGGAGAATCTTTGCTAAAACTTTGGCTTAATATATGGAATACAGTAAAACATGCTTATACACTAGTGCCAGGGACATGCAATTTTGATTCTTATACATGTCTATGTTGTGAGTTATATTCTTTAAGATTGCAATACGTACGTTTTAAAACCACAGGGATTGAAAATCACTTTGCTGAGAGTGTGAATAATCAATTCATTAAAAACGTGTTTGCTATAACCGTGTTCTACTGTACTATAAATGCATTAGTTATAATACTTTCAATTCAAACACAGAGCCCAGAATAGTCTACTTAATATAAAGAATAGTTTTCAGAATTACTTATTGAAGCTCTCATTTTTTAACATTTTGGATTTGATTTCCAAATAAAGAACAAAGTTTAATGAAAAAGAGAAATTTCTAAGGTATCCTAAATTCAGTAAGTTTGTGTCCAAGTTCATTTACAATCCTAAAATTTCTGTAAGTAAAGAAAGTAAAATGATTCACATTTTTCATATTTTATTGCACCACAATATGGGCATGACTTAATTAATATACAAACTGATTAATCATATACCATATTAAAAACACAATAAAAAATACTGGTTTACAAAAAAGCTAATCTTTACAGATTTACTGTGAAAAGAGATTTCTGAATTCATACTTTATACTGAGTGTCAACTGAAAGACATCTTTTTTAAAAAAAAAATCAAGGTGGAGGTATTTGTGTAAATAATATAAATTCTAAGTATACATATGTAATGTATTTGCTTTAAAGTAGAGACCGTCAAAATAGTGACCTGGTACTCTTCCTATCAAAAGACTTACGTTACTGGCAATAAGATATCTCGTGAATGGCACACAATTTCTGAGATGTATTCTCAAGAGATTCACTATTGAAAGAAAACATGGCACAGAATAGTATACCAGAATAGTATGTTTGTAATCCAAAATACAATTTTCTAAAATTATAGAATTTTCATGAGATTCTTAAAAAATTTACTCTTCTTTTCTTTCCTTTCAAAAATACATCAATTTTTCATACCCCATTTCAATCAACATTTGCAATAACATTCTTAAAGCTTAATCCATACATGTAGTTTAATCATACACAAACTCCCATAAACAAATTTATTAATAGTCCACTACAAACAAAACATCAGTTTATTTTGGAGAAAAGTAGTTAGAAGGAACAAATGGCATTTTTGACACGACAGCATCCAGCATTTTCTTCCTGACCTCAAACTTGACCTTGGTTCCATTTTTGACATGAGAGTTTTTTATGTAACCCATGGAGACATTTTGTTTCAGTGACGGAGATGGACATCCGCTAGTCAACTCACCAATCAATTCTGAACCTGATTCATCATAAACTTTGGTGTGTCCTGCAAGAAAGCAATATTTCTGTTGAATTGGTACAGACTGACTAAAACTATTTGAAAATGTTTATCAACATATAATATGAATACACAATGTTAGAAATTATATGAATTGGCCAGCTTTTAATATGAATACACATGTGACAACTTGCACAAATTGATCAGCGTAAAATACATGTATGAATACACAATGTGGTAACTTATATGTATTTAGAATATAAATATGAATCATATGAATACACAATGTGATAACTTATAAGCTTATATTTACATCCATTGAATATTTTTCCTTTAATTCTTATGAAAACCATTCCCATTTATCAGTGCATAAACCACACTAAGCAAGCCACATGCGTAGATTTCTTGAACAATGGCTGTTATATCAGTTATGCATATATTTACATATTCATCTATAATACAATATTTAATATATTAAATTTTACTTTGAATGTTTTTTTATACAGATGTAAATATAAACAATAAAATGTCTTTCTTTGGTTGTAAGTTTGGGAATAAATGTCCCAGCTATTGCAGAAAAAACAAGATATCTGTGAGCCAATGCTCACTAGTAATACCCCCACTCTGATGTAAATAAACACTATTATTTTAATATACACAAGTTCAATTATAGGCAGATGCACAGAAAAATATGAAGTTGACATCAGATTCATATCAAAATTATTCCCATCGTATGGCATGCCTCAGAGAAGATTGTGTTACAATTTCAATCATCTGCGATGAGTAGTTGCTGAGAAAACTGCGACAAAAATTTGTTATGTATGAAACGGACAGACGCACAGACAAACAGGAAGTTGACATTAGTTTTGAAGAAAAATGTATCCCACCATATGGCATGTCTCAGAGAAGACTGTGTAAAAATTTCAAGCATCTGCGATGAGTAGTTGCTGAGAAAACTGCGACAGAAATTTGTTACGGACAGACACACGGACACACAGACAGACAGCTAGACGGACAGCTAGACACACAAGGGTAAAACAGTATACCCCCCTCTCCTTCGGAGCGGGGGTATAAAAAATACATAATTCACTTCCGTGGGTTACGTTTTTAGTTCTGCAACAGCTGCGACATTAAAGCCCATACTAACAACAAAGGAAAGCATTTTATTATTTTTAAATGAAATGAATACACAATGTGACAACCTCTAGCAGGTGCTCCTGAGGAGAGAAAACCAACTCTCCGTCTCTCGGGTTTTTCCTTAATTTGTCTTAAAATAATCGAAGCTCCAGGAAAATTGGCCTCTTGTCGTCGTCTTTTTCCTAAATCAAAAAACAAATTGTATAAATTTCCATAATTATACAGTAAAAGGTGCTTGTAACAAAGTGCCCGGGGCAGATGAATTTGCTTTGGTGTAAGCTTATTCATTATGTCCAATAAGTTTACAATATATTTTAAAGTAATGGGAATGAATATCACTTCACTATAAGTGTCAATTCCTTGATATACATGTAAGCATGCTGCCTACTGGTATTCCACTTGCAGTTATTACATGTTTGACTATAGGAAATAACGTTTCATTAGTCATCTTTAAAAAGAAATAAGAAGTATTTTACTTTAGGGTGTTTGTCTCATTCAGCTTTTGGAGGCAACATAAAGAATTTAAAACAGAGGCAGTTGAAATACCTGTTTATTGGAAAAAAACACTTTAGTATTGAGAAGTTTAAATATAAGGTGTCTCGAACTAGCTCCCTCTCCTAAAAGGAGGGGGGGGGGAGTGAAAAATCTTGAATCTACACTGTAGATGCTTTCATATTTTTCTTTGACTACTCATCATGGGTTAAGAAGATTTTAAAATATTTATTCTTATACCGGGTAAGTTAGATCTCCTACCCCTGAGGTCATGAAATGAGGCAAGTTGAATCTTCACTGAGGATACCCCTGTATAAATAGGACAAAATTGCTTTGCTGTTCTTGGTACTTGGTACATAAGGGATAGCAATACAAATGAAAGAGGTTTAGCAATCTCTGTAATGAAAAATTACCCCACTCATATATTTCCATTTAGTACCACAGGTGAACAATAAAATACAGGGATGGATTTTCACCTATTGTCCATGTTAAGGAAGCCTCCACGGGTGTAGTCGTTTCGTCTATGTCACTCCCGTACAGACAGAGTCCGGCCTCTAGACGTAGAGTGTCTCGAGCCCCGAGTCCGATCAGCATGACCTTGTCCTTAGAGGACCCAGTCAGAGTGTTCACCAACTCCTCTGCCCGGTCAGGACTCACTGATATCTATACAAAAATATCTCACATAAGGACAACAGAAAGCATTTTATTTACAATACAACAAAGAGATTTCTAATACAACCAGATGAATAGATATGGTGCCAATGAGAGATCAAGTTTCCATTTCATTAAGCATCTTTGTAATACTAGTACTACAACTATTATTTGTGTCATCTTTTATTGGTGATTCATCAGTTAGAAATCAATCTGCACGATTAATCTTCATATACCTATTAAAGAAATATTCTCTACAAATACAAATCATAAATAGTTTGTGTTGATTACTATTCGCGAGGCAAAGTAGGTTGTGAAACTTGTGGATATATCTTGCACTCTAATAACAGTTGGTTTACAGTACTGTATACAGGGTATTTTCGTCCCACTTTATTTTCGCCCTTTCAAACTTACAAACAATTTTGCCCCATTTTAAATTCGCCCAGTCATAGTTTTGTTTAAGAAATTGTACTGCATTCTTTGAATTTGCCCCTTTAAATTCGCCCAATCAAGGTTAGGTTAGGGCAAAATAAAATGGAAGCGAAATTTTCCCTGTACTGTAAACCAACTTTTATTCGCGACGACTTTATTTCGCGATTTACCGGGAGTAAACTAGTTCGCAACAATTAATTTTTGCGATCAATACGTTTTTGGGACTGGTTTAAATAGAAAAAGAGACTTTAAGGACCCGTTCGCGGTGAGAAATATTCGCGATGACGAGGCCCTCGCCAACCTCGCGAAAATTTCTCGCACGCGAATAAAAGTTGGTTTACAGTATACAGTATATGATCACCCTTACCTCAACTCCATCCTCCCCTGTATAACCACACCTCGTCACTCGGCAATCGGGAATACCAAACACTGAGGTCATCTTGTTTGTCATGAAGGGTAGAGTATTTAGGTCAAAGTCAACTCCCTCCTGTAGCACCTGAGCCATTGATGGACCTAAACTCAGACGTTCAATCAATTTATCTGACAAAACTAGATGTTATTTCCTACTGCAGGGAAGTGAATGAAGAAATAAAACAAGAGATGTTTGTAAAGCACTTATGCCCCCCCCCCCAATAATTGGAATTTTTCTAAGTCCAAGGGATGTAACTCTGTCAAGAATGGCTCAATCATACCCAAATCAGAACTTGACCTAGATATATTTTGTGATAAATCTGTATACTAAATTTCATTTCAATATGTGCACAACCTCTGTGGAGAAAATGAACGGAAACTGCAAATAATTGGAATTTTTCTAAGTCCAAATGGCATAACGCTGTCGTACCCAAAATAGAACTTGACCTAGATATTCTAATGATAAATCTGTATAACAAGATTTCATTTCAATATGTGCAACCCCTGCAAAGGAAATGAACTGAAATTGATGGTGAACTGACAGACAGACATACAGCAGCAAAGCAATATGCCCTCCCATCTTCGACTGGGGGCATAATAAGATTGGGAAGATGCATTGCCAGTCAATTTTGTAACATTGCCAAAATTATTTTCATGCTTACATTGTCTCTCAGTGATTTTCAAACTGAACAAGCAATAATTGTAGCAATATCCTGTCATCACCTTGTAGGGCCAGGAGTCCATTACAGATCATCTCTACATTGACCTCCATTCCCTTCCTCCTACAGTTCTCAGCTTGAATCTATAAATGCATCATATTTTAAAAATACAAAAAATAAATATTGACTTTCTGTTAATGTATTACTGTAAAATCACATACTCGTATTTTCGTGGGGTCAAATTTTCAAGGTTTGAGAAAAATTATTGATTTGTGGGATTTGATTTCGTGGTTGCAATGGAGAATGTTCAGTACGTACTAATGCATATGAAATTGTACATTTCGTAGTGGTCATAAATTCATGGGTCTCTCAATGTCTCGAAAACAATGAAAATTAAACCCAACGAAAATTAGTGATTTCACAGAATATTTGGCTTGTACAATATATGTATTTGGCAGATAAAGATTTTTGAACAAGTTAGCGTATATTTGATGTGGCGCATTTCTTAATGTTCTTATTCATGAGTACCGGTATATGTTCGAGACATTTAGTGTTAACTTTGTACTTGAATTAAAAGTTCCAAGGGCGCTAAAAGGAATATACAGCCAAATGTAATACATTATAGTATCCAGATACCACTGACCTTAAAGATATTGGTAGATTTAGTAAACATTGCAAATTAAAGAAAATTTTCAATAACTGAAAAAGACTTAAAAGTTACATATAATAATTAAGGCAAGATTTCAGAATAGACAGCATCTGGATTACACAAGTTTAAGTGTTACTAATGTAGAAAAATGTGGAATCATCTACTTTCTTAATTTACGATTTAAGATTTATTGGCTATGAAGAAAATTACAGCAAACATTTGCAAACCAAGTATACCTGCATATTTTTATAGTCTTTGTCAGCACAGCCAGCATTGGACACAACATACAGGTATCCCTCCTCTGTTTTTGACACAATCAGATCATCAAGAATTCCTCCTTTCTCATTAGTAAAAACAGAGAGGGTCCCCTGGTTGTCTTTGAGTCCTTCAATATCCCCCACTATTAGACTCTCAATAAATGGCACACTGTCTTTCCCAGTAACCTTTGTCTGTAGCATGTGAGAGACATCAAACAGGCCGGCTGCTGATCGCACATGGATATGAGACTCAGAGATTCCATCTGTATACTGCACAGGCATGCTCCATCCAGCAAATGGCACCATTTTACCACCATTTTTGACATGGTAGTCATAAAGACATGTTTTCTTCAAGGACTTTAAAATAAAAAAAAAATAATACTTTCATTAACTTGTGCATATTTCTTTGGCTAAAGATAAGATAATTCATAGATATAGAAAATACAATTAAACAAGCATCAAGATCTGAGTTAAAAATATCAAAGTTTGAATGTTGCTTTCTTTACAAACTAAAGACAAACTGATGTCACAAGACTACTGAAAAGTCGAAACAGAGACGCTGATCACAATTTACACTTCTTGGTACACACCGTGCTAAGCAGGTAAGTTAGAAAAAAAAGTTTACGTGTATGTCAATGAATATGTACACATTCATGTGGAAGTTTAAGATCTCAGCCTCTCTTAATATGCTGGCCTCCGTTTTACAAAAGTTTGTAAGTCATAGATTTGGCCGTAAAACCAAACTTACTACATCCATTTTACAAATATTTGAGACTTTTGAGTTACAATGAAATTTGGTCGTAAGTCACAAGTCCTAAGTTTTGTCTCCAAGTTGTTCTATATATTATATAGTTGTGACTTAAAGTCATTGTCACAATTTAAAATATTAATATTCATCATGGCTGCATCTGTTGTTCTTAAAGTTATTGATAAAATGCACAAAATAGGTTTGAGGGCATTTTAGACAGTAAATACTGTAAATCACGTTTTATTCGCGAGAACTTTATTTTCGCGTAATTAAGCGAGACAATGAGCTCGCAAAAATTCCATTCTCGCGTTTAAAAGTATTCCTTACAATTATAAAGAAGAAAAACATGATTCGTGAAAATTATGTCTAACTAATAATGAGACAATGACTATCTCGTGAAAATAAGGTGTCGCGAAAATTTAGTGATCAACAGTATCCAAATGGATTACATGTCTGATGCCGAGTTAATCCAGGGGCAATACCTCTACCACATCAAACATATACTGCGCGGTGATATAATATGACCAACAAGAAAAAGTCATCCTATTAGCACAGAAATACAATTACAAACCTTTATTATTGATGCATTTTTTTGTGCATTGATTCATAAAACACACTTTACACATTTTGTAATCATTTTACTTGCATGTTATATATCATGTATGTAATATAATCAAAGAGGTCCTAATTTTGGAATAATGAATATATTCTATTCTATATTCTCTTCTAAACAAAATGCTTTTGAATCCGGTTGGATCCGCATATTAACAATACCCAACACTTTATAATGGAACAGAGTACCTCGTTCTGCGAATAAGACCTGCACTGACACGCAATTCCTTTCATTGCATTTGACATTCTCTTGGGAAAAAGTTTCCATGACAGCATTGTAAACTTTTGCATTTTATGAAATTAACTTTTAAGTCCAAAACTCTGGAGATGTCAGACTGTGTGAACTTTTATTCCAGAAGCAGATGATAACACTGAATGTCGAGCCCGAAATATAATCGTTTGGTTGTGGAAACTACTCGAATAGAGTATTTTGAGAAATTCATGTTATAGTAGTAATGAATTCATCCCTTGACGTTGTTTTCATATTTCTTTTTTGTTTACATCGAAAAGAAAATGTGAATAATATTTTTTTTAATCATCGGGATCGATAATTTCCACTTTTGTAGTGTTAGGTTGGCGTCCATTGGCTAAAATGATAATACATTACAGCTTCTGTAAAATGGGTATTTGGGACTCTTTCCGTGAAAACAATGCTTTAAACAAGTCATTTTAAATATCTTTCATTAGATTTTATGTGATATTAGTGAAAATTCTTTAAATTTGTATTTTTTAGAAATCCTGCATTGGCCAATCGTTACTCTCGTTACATAAATATTGGCGCATGACTTGAAAGTGAAAGTAGACAAAAACAAGCAAGCAAGGCCAGGGAAACACTGAAAAGAGAATCATGTTGTACTTAGAAGATTATTTAGAGAGTAAGTATAATTTTATTCAATTAAAATTATGTGAGAGATGAAAAAGATTATGTATGAGTAAACAGTTTTGTTTGAATAACTCGGTTTAGATCCAATTTATACATTTTAAAATTATTTAACATGCATGCAATCATTATATTCATGAATGTATCAGGTCTGGCACAATCACTAGATTTAGCTACTTAGCTTGATTTATCTAGATAGCTTTATGTACCTACCCGAAGTTGCTTTATCTAGCAGTCAGTGTTTTCCCTTTATTTCAAAGTAAAGGGCTCGAGATCAGGCCAAAAAAAAAAATACCTGTGTTTCCGGTAACCCGACCAACCCTAATTTTATGCGCCGACCCTAGCACTTTTTATTGCAAATCCGGATTACGTACCGTAATTTGTTCTAAAACTACAGTCTTCAAAACGCGCGCAGTTAAAAGGGCACTTGTAACAGATAAATAAAAACGTCTTTTCAAGCATTTTAAGATTATACATGCGTAGATAATAGCTCTTTTCCCCTTAGATCGTTCCCTCCTTTACCCTTTTATGACGACTTTTGACACTTAGCATCCAACCTTTAATGAGACCTTTGACCAAATCGATGTTGACACGTGTGTATATTTTCATTGTTGATTTGACTTGAAATTACCGCTTGTTTTTAAATTATCAGAGCACAGGTGGCCACCTGCAGATTAACAATAGATGATTGCATCATACTACAGTTGGAAATCACATGATTTACTTGTTTAAAAAAAACATAAGAATCTCGGAAAGTCCCACCAAAATTCAAAATGACGGACTGTTACTTACGATGTTTTTTGAGCATATAACTCAGTCAATACGCAATATTTTCTCATCCAGTAAAGCATTACATGAAATCCAAGCTATCAACTACATATTCCTTGAAAGGTTTGATAATTATAATGATCTACACGTGTAATATACTTCAATATAAGATCCGAAAATTTTGTGAAGTTCGGGACTGCGCAGTGCCGATTTCGTTACCTGTTTCTCAGAAATTCAGAAGATATCTTCCATTTTACGCATAGTTATAAATGTAAAGGTGTAGAAAATAATTATTTTAATAGAATTTGATCATTAAAATAATCAAAAACATTTAGAAATCTAGTTTTATCACACAAGTTTGAAAATTTGTTGGCGAGATTGACATTGTAGTATCAGTACAATTATTGATTTCTGAGTAATCAAACTTATAAAATGGATAATAAATAACAATTTAATCATTAATTATAACATCACACATAAATTTCATAGTTTTTAAAGACAATTTTGGCATATTTGTTTAAAATATCTATTTTGCGATTTACACCTGCTTTCACCTGAATTATTTATTTATAGAAAATTACAATAAAAATTCTGTAAATAGATGAGAAAAATTTAATTCATTATGAATCCAATGATATATAATACATAGCATAAAAGAATTGTTTGACCCCTATTAGCATGATTAGTTCAGTTTTAAAATGCACTCCAATTCATTTAAATTGCTGTTAGGGGCAGCCATTAGGCAAACACTCCAGGAATATAGCTAGTGTGTCAAATTGTGGCCCCAGATGTATTGCATCACTTATTTTATATGTGCATCACTCAACTCCAAGTCCACCACATGTTGTCATTGGGTTTAAGCTCAAGAAATGTCCACACTCATACAAAATTACTGCAATATATAACTTTCTTTGGCACTGGACTGTGGGAAAATTATTTGGAGATAGTCATAATTTTGAAGCTAACAACGGCGGTTTAACTCTGACATTATTGGCCGTGAAAGAAATGGATATTAACTATGTCTTTACATGTAATGATAATGAGGTCGAGGTAGAAGTAGGCCTGAAAAACAATCTTGAATTCTTTATTTTACTTTTTTGTTAAATGTGACAAAATTTCATTATTAAATTGTGATTAAAATTCAAATATCTTTTTCTGTAAATCAATTTCTTGCAATTGGTTCTGCTACCTACCTCTAGAAAACAAAATACTACTTGTTAATATTTAATATCATATACAGTTTACCTAAAAAACAGTCAAATATAATGTTCAGTTAAAATAAAAAGTAAATATTTAAAAAAAAAAGTTATTGCCTACCTACCTACCCTAATTTTGAGGGACATGTTACAGGAAACACACATATTTTTTTTTTTGGCCTCAGCCAGGCTAGGGGCAGAGGTAAATCTGGAAATTTTTACATCGATTTATTTTTGCGACTTTGGGTTTAAAAGCTATTGATTAATTTTTACGCTTCAAAATTTTGCGAATTGTCACTGGTGCTAAAAATGAAAACCACTTAAGATTTTCATATCAGTGTATGTTTCAATTTAGCATGCACAGTTAAAATACCAGCAATATACTCACAACGTGGTAAGAAATTGCAGATTCGCTCCGAAACAATTTTGAGGATAAAAATACAAATGAAAAGGATTTGCCTTGAAAATAACTTCTAAATTAATTATAACAAACTTTTTAGAGATTGTGTATGCCTTTTAACTAAAATATAATCCATTAAATAAAGACAAAAATATAACTCATTTTCTCAACGTTTGGTTTTTTCTCACCTAAAATTTACACGCCGTGTTTACATTTGGAACTCTCTAGTAAAAGCACTGAGCTCGAGTTATCACCCGTGTTTATAAATGGTTGGCTAACATAACTGGTCTCTCTGTTTCTTGGCAAAATAATTAAAAAGGGACACAGTGTCTCAGTGCTTGTCAAACCATCCAACGATAATGCATATAATGAGGGCAATTTATACACACTGGTAATTAGCTTGTAGTTACAGTAGTATAAACAGGTTTCTTTTTAAAAATGAGCAGTGCTTACCGACGCTTATTCACTGAGTTAAAAATAGACACCAACTTTCAGAAAAAAAAAATTTTTACATGTTGATTTGTTTTTAAGAAAAATATTTTGCGAATGCATTACCGGTACATATGCAAATTTGCTAAAAATTTATCTACAGTAAAAATTTCCAGATTTACGGTATGCAGTATTTCACAAAAATGGTTTTGTAAAAAAAAAAAAAAATCTCAAGTATTTGACTAAACCTGAGATGCGAGAAATCAATGAAGGAATTTGAAAGAATACTTCTTCTACAACTAAACTGTCATTAAAATGATGCTATTGACATTTAAATGGTCCTATCACTGACAAATGAATCATCACTTGCATTTGATCACCTCCTTGCCTTTTGACCTCTTTGGGCATGACGAAAATTCCAATCGATTTTAAAGTAGACATATTTTTTGTTACTTACTGTAAATAAGAAGATACTTAAAACATTGCTGTGACGTCATGCCTTTGTTCTTGCAGTCTAAAAATTTACCTGTAGCCGTCCGATAATAATAATTACCAGTCTGATAATATATTATCAGACGGCAATGATAACAAAATCGGACGGTATTTAAAATCAAAAAAGAAGAGTGGAAAAAGTTAAATATTTCCACCTACCCCCGACCACCCCCCCCCCAACCCCTCCAAAAAAAAAAGGAAAAAAATTAGGGAAAGCAATCGCAAGGAAATTAAGTTGCTACAAACTAGAAAATCCATGAAAAAATCGAGTTTAAACTATCTTCAAAATTAATAATTCCCATCTTTTAAGTGTTTTTGATACAGCACTTTGTATAATCGAATTTAAATCCATTTTTGAGAAAAAATTGGCAAATTTATTTCTTTTATAAGGATTGTTTCCAAATGGCTGCACTTGTAAAAGCTGAGAATTTCCATTCTATAAACTAAAACTCCAGGATGAAAATTCGCATGTTACTTTCCATGGTGACGGTGTTAATTTCACCCCAAAAAAATTTATAAATGCACAAAATAAATAAAAATGTTCCAAAAATAAAAAGGAAATCCTTCCCCACCGGACCCCTGTCCTGCTTATCTAAACGACTGCCATTGAATGAATGAAATGAAACAACAGTTCACCCACTCTTTATCTGTCTCTTTTCTTTTGTCCACTTATTAGACGGGTAAAATACAATTGATGCCTAAACTCCCATTGTGTTATTATCGGACTCCTACAGGTAATTTTTGGATATTTAAATGGCAATGTTTTAAGTAAGATATATGCCTCATACTATTCTATATGTAAAATTATCAGACAGTTTTCGGCCCTAACGGGCCTCAAACAGTCTGATAATTTTACATATAGAACAGTATTCGGCATATATCCATTACTTATCAATGCCTTGGCATCATGTAAAAAGGTGATGGTACATGTATTTACAGCATCCTTTCTGATGATACATGTATTTTACAGCATCCTTTGAGATGGTACATGTATTTACAGCATCCTTTGTGATGGTACATGTATTTTACAGCATCCTTTGTGATGGTACTTGTATTTACTAGTGCTGTGCGATATTACCGGTTAACCGGTGTATCCCTATTTCGTTCTTCACAATACATATCGCGGTATTTTTTTTGTGAATACCGGATCGGGTTCAGTATGATATGAATTGTTACAAAAAGAGTTATTTGCCCTTTTCAAGATAATATATGGCGGCAAGGAACGTGAAGTGTGATCAGAAACCAGAGAAATGTCTCTTTCAAAAATGAAAACAACTGTTACATGAAACCCCTTCATGTTAAAGCTGAATCTGAATATTACAACTTAATTGAATTCAACAAGTTGTACCACAAAAAACTTATCTTGCCACTTGTGCCGACACAACACGAACAGGCAATTGGAATATCAACTGGAGAAAACATGTAATTTGAGTTTGTGTTTTCATTTAACCTTGACGAAAAAGCAAAAAATTATTAAATATTTATATCGTGATGTATTGCAATACAAAATGTAATATTGCAAAATATCGTGATACGATTTTTGAGTCGCGATACCCAGCACTAGTATTTACAGCATCCTTTGTGATGGTACATGTATTTTACAGCATCCTTTGTGATTGTACATGTATTTTACAGCATCCTTTGTGATGGTACATGTATTTACAGCATCCTTTGTGATGGTACATGTATTTACAGCATCCTTTGTGATGGTACATGTATTTACAGCATCCTTTGTGATGGTACATGTATTTTACAGCATCCTTTGTGATGGTACATGTATTTTACCGCATCCTTTGTGATGGTACATGTATTTTACAGCATCCTTTGGTATGATACATGTATTTACAGCATCCTTAGTGATGGTACATGTATTTAACAGCATCCTTTGTGATGGTACATATATTATACAGCATCCTTTGTGATGGTACATGTATTTACAGCATCCTTTGAGATGGTACATGTATTTTACAGCATCCTTTGTGATGGTACATGTATTTTACAGCATCCTTTGTGATGGTACATGTATTTTACACCATCCTTTGGGATAGTTCTTGTATTTACACCATCCTTTGTGGTGGTACATGTATTTTACAGCATCCTATGTGATGTTACATGTATTTTACAGCATCCTTTGTGATGTTACATGTATTTTACAGCAACCTTTGTGATGGTACACTATTTTACAGCATCCTTTGGGATGTTATTACCGGCCGCCAGGAGGCGGTCGGTTATATGATATGAATGTTTTTAGTCGCCGTGCGTTTCTGCGGAGTTAGAACAATTTGAATAAAAAATATTTAACATTCATGTAATAGAATATTAAGAAAGATTTTTTAAATGTAAAACAAAAACGCACAATAATCATAAAATTAAAATTTTATAAATAATGGGTTAAATGTTTCATCCAATCCTGATTGACAAACTCCGACGTAACTGAAGTGCGGAGAAATAAGCACACATGTTGGGCATAGTCTAAAGCAAGGGCCGCGTTATATACATGTATAAACAAATTTACTTTCTCTACTTCAACAGGATTTGTTGTATATATAATTTAAAATGACGTGTAAATATAAATATACAATGTACTTTTAATACGGAAAGTTTTTAAAAATATGACTTAATCTTAGTTTATTATCAGACAGAATATTAGGAGATTTTTCTCCAACAGACAAGAACAAAGCGCGTTTTACAATATGCCAAGTCTTTTCCCGCCACATCTCACTCCAAAACAAGATAGAGAAAAAATGTAGTGGCGGATCTAGAGGGAATTTGAGGGTTTCAACATCCTCTGAGCGAGCGAGGAGCCCCACATAGTTGTTACGTTTTATTTAAAGTTAAACTATCTCTAGTTAGATAAGTTTAAACGTTAGTTTTGATGGTTAAGTGTTAAAACTACTTACCGTATATACTCGCCTATAAGTCGGTCCGCCTATAAGTCGGTTGTAGCTAATAAGGTTATATTTCAGTTGGACTAACCTCATATAAAACCATTCTTTTGATAGCTCGCCTATAAGTCGGACACATAGTTTTGAACCAGAGATTGACTCCCAAAAAACCGACTTATAGGCGAGGATATACGGTAAACATCAAACTTCCGCCAGAGTTCGTTTGTACAAATGAAACTGAGTGCGGGGACGCAGAGGACTATGAGTAAGTTGCTTTTAAATATGTTGTACATGTAGCAATGTACATGTATTATGTACTGAAGAAAATCCTGGAATGTCGCTTTCAAATGTTTAATGTCACTGGGATACATATTAATTAACAGATAAATATAAGAATTTAGTCTCTAATTGTATTATGAAAGAATTAATTAATTGGTTTGCGGCCTATTTTTGACGCTTGCGTCAATATGTTTCTTGTATGTATTTTACAGCATCCTTCTGATGGCACATGTATTTTACAGCATCCTTTGTGATGGTACATGTATTTACAGCATCTTTTCTGATGGTTCATGTATTTACAACATCCTTTGAGAGGGTACATGTATTTTACAGCATCCTTTGAGATGGTACATGTATTTATCGCATCCTTTGTGATTGTACATGTATTTACAGCATCCTTTGTTATTGTACATGTATTTTACAGCATCCTTTGTGATGGTTCATGTATTTACAACATCCTTTGTGATGGTACATGTATTTACAGCATCCTTTGTGATGGTACATGTATTTTACAGCATCCTTTTTATTTTTTTCTTGCAGTGATAGAGAACCTGCCAATGGAGATGAGAGAGAGGCTTACAGAAATGAGAGAAATGGATCTACAAGTTCAAAGTTAGTGTCCCTATAACTGAGAACTCATTATGAAACAAATGTACAAATTCAGAAATACTGTAGACGTACTTTTTTCCACTGGGTCATAATTCCGCGGAATCTCAATTTCTGTTTAATCTGCGGGTAGAAAGTTACGCGGCTTTTCTAGATTATCACTTTATGCCTTACAATTACATTAAGTACGCTTGGACAAATTTCTGCGGAAAATTTGTGACCGCGAACATAGCGTAAATTAATACCACGTGGAAAAAAAGTACTTCTACAGTAGATTAAGCGCTGTTAACTTTATTGTTTCAGACAAAAAATTATCAATTATTGATAAAACATTTTAGGCAATGTTCTAAAAATATAGAATGCAGAAATATTCTTAAAAATATTGATTTACAAATTCTTGCTCAACTTTGTAAGAAACATAATATATTTATGAGCATACAGTTTCTGAAATTATTGTGCATGTTTACAGATGCGTTAGACAATCTTGATGAGAGAGTAAAGAACTTTTTTAAGAAGTGCACACAGCCAAACATGAAAGTAGAGTCAAAGGATGAACAGTTCAAGCTGATTAAACAGGTACACAAGACCATCTTGTAAAAAAAAAAAATGTTCAAAAATTTAGTAATTTACAGTATTCAAGGTTTTTTTTTAGCTCACCTGCGCCGAAGGCTCAAGTGAGCTTTTCTGATCACATTTTGTCCGTCGTCCGTCCGCCTAGCTGTCCGTCTGTAAACTTTTCACATTTTCGACTTCTTCTCAAGAACCAATGGGCCAATTTTAACCAAACTTGGTACAAAGCATCCTTGGGTGAAGGGGAGTTTAAATTGTTAAAATGAAGGGCCAAGTCCCCTTACAAGGGGAGATAATTAAGAAAAGACAAAAATAGGGTGGGGTCACTAAAAAATCTTCTTCTCAAGAACCACTGGGCCAGGAAAGCTGAAACTTATGTGGAAGCATTCTTGGGTAGTGTAGATATTAAATTCTTAAAATCTTGACCCCCGGGGATAGGGCGGGGCCACAATAGGGAATCCAAGTTTTACATAGAAAGATATAGAACAAATCTTTAAAAATCTTCTTCTCAAGAACCACTGGGCCAGGGAAGCTGAAACTTATGTGGAAGCATCCTCGGGTAGTGTATATGTTAAATTGTTAAAATCATGACCACCAGGGGTAGGGCGGGGCCACAATAGGGAATCCAAGTTTTACATAGAAAGATATAGAAAAATTCTTTAAAAATCTTCTTCTCAAGAACCACTGGGCCAGGAAAGCTGAAACTTATGTGGAAGCATCCTTTGGTAGTGTAGATATTAAATTGTTAAAATAGTGACCCCCGGGGGTAGGGCGGGGCCACAATAGGGAATCCAAGTTTTACATAGAATTATGTAGAACAAATCTTTAGAAATCTTCTTCTCAAGAACCACTGGGCCAGGAAAGCTGAAACTTATGTGGAAGCATCCTTGGGTAGTGCAAATATTAAAATTGTTAAAATCATGACCACCAGGGGTAGGGCGGGCCACAATAGGGAATCCAAGTTTTACATAGAGTTATATATATAGAACAAATTTAAAAAATCTTCTTCTCAAGAACCACTGGGCCAGGAAAGCTGAAGTTTATATGGAAGCATCCTTTGGTAGTGCAGATATTAAATTGTTAAAATCATGACCCCTGGGGGTAGGGCGGGGCCACAGTAGGGAATTCCAAGTTTTACATAGAAAAATAGAGAACAAATCTTTAAAAATCTTCTTCTCAAGAACCACTGGGCCAGGAAAGCTGAAACTTATGTGGAAGCATCCTTGGGTAGTGTAGATTCTAAAGTTTTAAAATAAAGAAGGGAAGGTGGTTGTTGGGCATGATAGGTATAGCAAGAGGGGGAATCTGGTAAAGATCTGCATCACCCAAGTTACTCAGGTGAGCGATGTGGCCCATGGGCCTCTTGTTTTTTAAATAATGTATGTCATGTCTATAGAGTACTGTAATTATATTTAATGAAGTAGTACTTTTTAAAAAGAAAAAGTCTGCAAGCAAATTTGAATAGACTCTAGTAAAACATAAATTATACAAGGTTTTCATCAGCATAAAATACATGTACTGTATAAGTACTTTTTATACCCCCCACAGACAATGTTTGGGGGGGTATATAGGAATCACCTTGTCCGTCTGTCTAGCTGTCCTTCTGTCTGTGCAAACGTGTCCGGTCCATATCTTTTTACGAAGGGACATTAGAATCTACTACTCCACACAAAGATTGCCCATGTCCCAAGGGTGGGTCATGACCTTGACCCAAGGTCATTTGGAAAAATTCAAGGTCACTGGAAGAAACATTTCATTATTTGTGTCCGGTCCATATCTTTCTTATGGACAAATTTGGCAGGTTCTCATTTCACACAAAGATTGCCCAAGACCCAAGGGTGTGTCATGACCTTGATCCAAGGTCATTTGAGGAAGTTCAAGGTCACTGGAAGAAAAAATTTCATAATTCGTGTCTGGTCCATATCTTTCTTATGGATAAACTTGGTAGGTTTTCATTTCACACAAAGATTGCCCATGACCTAAGGGTGTGTCATGACCTTGACCCGAGGTCATTTGGGGAAGTTCAAGGTCACTGGAAGAAAAATTTCATTATTTGTGTCTGGTCCATATCTTTCTTATGGATAAATTTCGTAGGTTCTCATTCCAAACAAAGATTGCCTATGACCCAAGGGTTTGAGCTTGACCCAAGGTCATTTGGGGAAGTTCAAAGTCACAGGAAGAAAAATTTCATAATTTGTGTCCGGTCCATATCTTTCCTATGGATAACCTCAGTACCCCCTTGCTTGTCGTAAAAGGCGACTAAATGGGGCGGTCCTTCGGATGAGACCGTATAAACCGAGGCCTCGTGTCACAGCAGGTGTGGCACGATAAAGATCCCTCCCTGCTCAATGGCCCTGAGTGCCGAGCATAGGCCTAAATTTGCAGCCCTTCACCAGCAATGGTGACGTCTCCATATCAGTGAAATATTCTGGAGAGGGACGTTAAACAGTATACAATCAATCAATCAATCCTATGGATAAACTTGGTAGGTTCTCATTTTACACAAAGATTGTCCATGACCCAAGGGTGTGTCATGACCTTGACCCAAGGTCATTTGGGGAACTTTAAGGTCAGTGGAAGAAAAATTTCTTAATTCATGTGTAATACATATCTTTGTTATGGAAAAACTTACTTTTGAAAAACCCAGCGGGGGGTATTTTGTCCTGTTTGGACAGATCTAGTTTCCTTATGGAACCATTTAACGCTGTGAAATTGGTCACAAATTTCTCACAGAAAAGCATACATAGGCAATTTAAAATATCTGCCTAATTTTCTACTGGATAAAACAGAAATTGATTCCACAAAATGTTCACCTTGGCTTGTAAGAAAAATATGTGTATTGTACAGTGTATTTGTGTTAACATTTGATGTTGAATTCAGTTTTGAAAAGAACAAGGAAAGAAAAAAATGAAGGGAAAGTTCTTTTTTTCAATAGGATTATTATAAAACCCTTGAAGATGCGGATGAGAAAGTACAGCTAGCTAATCACATATATGACCTGGTAAGTTTTTATTGATGTTACATGATAAGTAATCGACATTTCAAAATGAATGCTGATTTATTCAAGACATATCCTACAAAGTTCATTTGACTGTCATTCATTTTAAAATTTAATTGTTTTCTTTGTTGAATATTGCCTATTTAGAATTATTCTCTGCAGGTTGACAGACATTTACGAAAACTTGACCAGGAGTTGTCTAAATTCAAGATGGAACTTGAGGCAGACAATGCTGGAATTACAGAGGTGCTAGAGAAACGTAAGTTGTTAAAGATTAATCGAACCTCGGCAAGTCCTAAAGAATTGTTCTTACCTTTTCAACCTCATTATCTCAAATCTTTGGATATCTCATAATGAAATCATTTTGAAGATATGTAACAAGGTTTACTTTAATGTATGATTGACGGATAAGATACCTCGTTGTACACTTGTACAGGGTGTTTCACAATATATGTCACACATCTAAAGACAAATGGATAAATGACAACTAAAGCTACATATATATTTTATATATCATTTTAATCAGCATCAATTCAAAATTATTTTTTGGGGTCAGAAGTACCCAACATTCTCCACTTCAGTTACCATGGCAACAAATCCTAAAATGTTATTCTCCAATTGTTTCCCAACATTACATCCTAAATAACTTATGAGACTAATGCTTGGAAATTTCTAACCACTGTTTTGTAAGTTTCACAGGATACTTGAGACTTTTCTTGTTTTATATCTGGCTTTTTAGAACCCTCAAAATTCATATCTTTTTTATTTAAAGTTGCATATAAATAAATGTGTCGTTTCAGAACTACCGGCATGTGTTAATTGGTGCCCACTTCTTTCGCTCTTCCTTTCAGTCAGTCTTGCAAACTTGAACCAGCTATGAAAGTCAACTGGCTTTAAATGCTGAAATCTCGTATGCAGACAAACAACTCAAATTTAAGATTTCTAAATTACCTTGATGTACTAACCGGCATTGTTACAATCCATTTTCCAAAACTCAGATCTAACTTTCATGATTTCACTTTAATATTGTTCTCATCTCTTCTCTATTGGGGGGGGGGGGGGGCAGGATTTAAATGTCTTTAATCTTAACATTAAAATTTAGTTCAAACTCTCTTATTATTCTTAATATATGAAAACTAGACAACAATTTGTGGTCTGAATATTTTTCATCATCACTCCCTGTACAATATTCAGGATATCGTTCTTATAATTTAAGTTTACAACAAATTTTTGCTGCAAGTTGTACTCCATTTTGAGAAAAGCTGACATTATGAGGTCACTGATTATATCATCAGTTACTTCATGGTATATTATAATTTCCCCAATACTTTGCAATATCATAATTTTAGATCTATTTGCTTTCCTATAGTGTTTTGGTATTTTTGTTATCATGCTCAATATTTAGATTATTCCCATTTAGATGTGTGACATATATTGTGAAACACCCTGTATATGAGATATTAAAGTCAGACTAATTAAATACGTTGACCTGTTTCTTTATTTTGTTTTCCCCTCTATTTCCTGACAGGATCTCTGGAGTTGGATAAGCCTCCATCACTCGGCAGCAACAGAGCAGAAAGTAAGCCTCAAATACAAATGCATTCTGATAAGAAAATTTGAAACTACATGTACATGAACCTTGTAAATTCAGATGAGTTTTATTACAAAATTACTTCATTATATTATGTGTCAATGATTGAACTTTATTTTTAAACAAGAAAAAAATAACATTTTTCATGAACATTCAATAGAATTTTTTTTAAGCTAAATTTAAACATCCTAAGTTACACAATCTTCATGTATTTTCTCTTTCTTTCCCTAGAACGGAAACTCCTCCATTCACAGTCACAGGTTACAAACCACTCTGAAAAGCGAATGACCACGGAAAAAGTCCTGTCCACCATCGCTAACGAAGCAGCAAGAGAGACGATTGGTCACAGTCGCCGGCAGTCCAGTTCAGGGTCAAATTCCCCGGCCCTGTCCATGTTCAACTCCACCTCCACCCCTCAGTCCATCAGCTACAGTCTGGGTAGGAAAGGTGTTTATTGAAATATCTCATTTTTTCGTGGGGGCAAATTTTGAAAGTTAATTTGAGGAAAAAATATTGGTTTGTGGGGACTTGGAGAATGTTAAAAAGTAATTCATATGAAATTTTAAATTTTGTGGTGTTCATAAAATTTGTGTTTTTTCTCCACAATAACAAAATTGAATCTCCTACAAAAAGAAGTGATTTCACTGTATTGTTTTATGCTTGTATAGGCTTTGAAATATTGCTATAATGGTAATTTTATCTATACACATGTTGTGATGAGTACGGTTTGTCATTAGGATAAAGAGCAATATATGTTTTAAATAGTTTGATTATACTGTAAAAGAACGTATTAAATTTTGATTGTTTATTTAGGTCACATGGGAGCGGGAAGTAATGCAGCCATAGCAGCAGCGGCATCCCAAGCAATAGCAGCAACACAACAAGTGGTAAGATGCAACATGTCTAGGTCACAGAAATGCTTTATTGTACAAAAAAATTACCCTGATTGATCATCATGAGAAATTTCTTGATTTTGTTTAACACTTATGTCATCATGATAGAGGATTCTTGCTAAGTTTATGTTTATTTCTTACAGAGTTTAATGAACAATATACATAGAAAAGTATATATCTTATGAAATAGAAAGACAATGTTGGCACATTGACACACACTGTATTTCAAGGCAGGGCATCAACTTGAAAAAAAAAAACATATTAAAAGCATACAGTTTTGTATTTTGATTTCCAAATGTTGAACAGCAAATCTGGATTTCATGTTATTTAAATACCAACTTGTTTAGAAAGATCACTATTTAATTTGAAACTTTGAACAATATACATCAGGTAAATTAGAGTTGACAATGGTTTGACTCCGTGATGTCTTTACAGATGGGTCAGCAGGGGCGGAGAACTCCGAGTATGAAGGCCAGTTATGTCGCCATGGCAAAGGACCTGTCCAAGGAAATCCCCAGTATTGCCAAGGAGTACACATATAGTTCTCAGCCCTCTACTCCCAACCCAGTGTCAGAAATCACGCAGAAGGTCCCAAGATCCAAAAAGTTAGTCTTTGGTCAACACTAAGAATTAAGGAAAATAAGACTTACAATGTAGCTAGAGTTCATAGGAGGCATAAGAATTTAGAGGAATTTATAAAATAGAGCATTGCTTCATTTAACTACTTGGTTGACAGTTGTAAATGATTAAAGTTGCCAAATTGCCTTTGTTGTAAAATTAAGGAGGTATGTAAAAATAAATTTAATTTTTTTTTTTTTTTGGTCAAAAAATTCATGTACTTGCTCTTTGTCATTAAATGTTTTTGCTACATGCTTTTACTAATTTCAGAGCGACCTCCAAAGCAAACACTTTAATCAGAGAAGCACAAAATCAGCTGAGTGGTGCCTCCCTTCCGTCCCTCTCCCTCACACAGCCCACCACCCCCCAGACCCCCCTGTCTGTCCAGGTGGCCTCTCCTATGGTGGAGGATGCCTCCAATGACCTTCAGATAGTGGATGAGAATGGTCAGCCTGTGGACTGGCAGAATGACCCCAATGAACCCCGATACTGTCTGTGTAACCAGGTGTCATACGGCGACATGGTGGGGTGTGATAACGACGATGTGAGTGGGATTTGCTTCTCTTTTGCCAGCATTTCCATTTTGTTTATGTGTCTGTATGTTAGGAGGTACTCCTTCATATAGTTCATGCGTTAAGTCATTGTATTTTTCTCATTAAGCTGATTTATATTTATTGCTTTAGTTCTCTTGTGGGCTGTAATATGCTTGTCAGTTAATAAATTTCTTGGATTTGAAAATAATGAATCAGTGAAAAAAGCTAATCAGAATATTTTGGGGGTTTTTTATTTGTCAGTGTCCAATTGAATGGTTTCACTATGGTTGTGTTGGTCTCACTCAAGCCCCGAAAGGGAAATGGTTTTGTCCGCAGTGTACGGCGGCCATCAAGCGTCGCGGTCGGAGGAACTGACCTACGTCCAATACTTCACAGAGACTAGTGGTGTGTGTCTGATCATCCTGTATATAAACATGACTGTATGCGACTTGATTTACATTTTTTTTTTCACATTAGTGCTTATGATATGGCATTGCACTGATTTGTATGTTTGTTACTATATGTGCATTCCAATAGTACTGAAAACAAACAAAATAAAATTGTTAACTGTGGGTCGTTTTTGTAATCAGAATGAGGAAATCCAAGAAAATTTTCAAAATGAAGATGAAATGTATATGTACTTATAGATTTCAAAAGATTACCGTCTTTCCACCTGCCCAAATAAACCAAGAATTCAGTATTCAAATTTTTGTGAATAACTTGCCATAATTGTAAGATTTTTTTTTGTTTTTCATTTGGTTTTCCACAGGATCTTTGTACACATAAAGTTTAAATGCATTAAATTTAACTTAGCAATGATCACTGATTTTTCTCTCAACTTGATAGTAGTTTCTTAACAGAAGCATGAAAACTTGGTAGTCTTGGCATCATTTTTGTACACATAAAATATGAAATATTGCTCAAAATTGTAATGCTGCTTCCTGTAGATTGAAAGAGTTAGTACTGTAACAGTAGATAAGGAAAATAAATCACTATCCTCTAATACACAATAGAATAATTTTTTACCAATAATCAGATTTGCCAATTTCCACAGACTAAACTTTTTTTTCTATGTGGGATTAATTTACTGCTTCTCTTTGTGTATGTGTTCAAAAAGTCGCAGCATTATAAACATTAGGGACATATCTAGTAATGATAAAACAAGTGTACATTATTTTCTTTAAAGACCCAATTTTTTTACCGTACGGTTACCTGAGGAGGGGGAGTAGTCTTAGTAACAGTGGTGTTATTTACCTGAAGACCCCAATACCCAAGATGTCAAAAATCTGGGTATGCCTTTTACACAGGAAGTCTGTGTTTTTTAATCTGGGTCAACATTATTTGTTTTGTGTCTGGTTTTGAGTGAAACTACGTAAAATAATTATTTTAATATATGAAATTTATTTGTAAACTAAACGCATTCATCGTTATCATGGTAATGTTTTGAAGGCAAAAAAAAAATAATAATAAGATACATGTATATCGTTTTAGAAAATGTTTTTCTCACATAAAAGAAAAAATCACGAGTAAAAACTACAAATCAATAACAATTATCTATTTTAATCTTCAATAAAAGAAATCGCTTGATTAAAAAAGTCTGAATATTGAAATAAAAAAAATTATGAAAATTATGAATCCACCTATTCGTCGTGCATGCGAACATGCATTTACCACGATCGGAATGTTTTTTTATGGCCAATAATGTTGTCCAAAATACTCCATATTTTTTATTCTTCGTGTGTTTACAAAATTTTATTGTTAGAAAGATTTCTTTTCAGAATCGATCACTATTAACTATCTTCACATTTTCATTACGTATATATACAGACGCCAGAGGAAATTCGAGCATTAATTCTGACATCAATTTCTGTACAACATCGTGCGGATTGTATAGCCATAGTACAAAATAAAACATCTTTTAAAAACTTTGCTATGCCGTTTATTAGTGCTGAATATTTTTCTTATATCCCATTTCTTAAAAAATAATTTAAATCGATGGACTTCTAATTACGGCAAATAGAGCCAGTTTCTGTGGACGCGGTCTTTTTTTCTACAGATAACGTGGACGATATAACACTTACAAGAAACAAACAGCAGTGAAGATAGAAAATAAATATTTTATTATGTCAATGTTTTAATAATCTACTTTCAATTATTTTTTTAAATAAAATTCAAACATATTCTAACCCGCGTGTATACAATGCGGGTACATGAAAGCGTTTGGCGCGTGACCAGGTAATTGTTCTCAAAACATGCAAACTCAGATTATCAAGAAGCACAGGTAGCTGACCTGTCAATCAAATCAGAAGCTATTGTTTTTTTAATGATTGACAGGCGGTAAATTATTGATCTTGAATCAGGTAGATTTTGGGGGCGTTAACATAAAATTGGGTGTTTAACAGAATAATTCTGCGGCATAGTGACTCTGTGGGGAAAAAAAATATGAGTTGTTGTATTTCCAAATTGTAAAGTATTGACAATTTGAATGAAAATTTCTATTTGTGCCTTTTGAACATAAGATATTTGCTGTCATTTTTTATGCGTGTTTGTTTTTGGATATGTGTACATGATAGATTTTAAAAAGCTGGAAAAAAAGAAATTTTCTTTGACGATTACTGTTTTCCGTGTTTTTTTGTGCATTAAATGTTGCTTATTTTGTACCTTTGTTACAATAAAAAAGTGAAAACCTACTGTAGTTTATTAGCTCTTCTGTACTCCATGGTGTCAAGCCATGGTCTGGAATCCGACTATAGCTCTCCTATCCATGGCTGCATGATCGCAAAAAGTGTCGTAATCTCGAATATTTACGCTTCTATGCTGTGACGTCATGTTCAGCCAATGACAATATTTGTTTCCATTGCAGTGGAAATCAACAATTGACATCATTAGTAAACAAAAAATATTTCATAAGCTGCGATTAGGTATTCTGAAAGATAGTGTCAAAGTTCATTTTCCGATTATGCTCTACTCGCATTGATCAATATTTTAATGAGCTACAAAAAAAACTCTTGTTCAACTATGGGCAGAATGGAGAGGATCGTATATTTTGGCTGTGGTTTGCGACAATGTCTGTACCAATACATGGGTGAATGATTAGGTCTTGGATGTTCAATCTACTGATGTGTACTCGGAGAACTAAATCAGAGAGGACGTCAAACACATTTCTTTGGCGTTACCTGGTACTTGAAAAGTTACTATAGAATATTTGCCAGCATTAAGCTGTACCCTTGCGTGTTAGCTCACTTGAGCCGCAAGCTAAAAAAATTCCTGCCGATGAACAACAAATTCATTTGTTATATCGATATGGAAGCATCCTCAGGTAGTTTGAAATTAAATCCTCACCTCCCCCTTGTAAAACTTTTCCGTACATGTACTGAACTGATTTTTGTCAACCTATATCCTAGTCTCTTGTTCATATTTCATCAAACTGTAAATGTGTAACTTTTTTATTATGCCCCTGTAAACGAAGCTTCGGGGTTATATAGTTTTTGTCGTGACCGTCCATCTGTATGTCTGTCTATCTGTTTGTCTGCAAAAACTTTAACCTTGCCCATAACTTTTGATTTAGTGGAACTATGATTTTCATATTTCACGTGTATTCCTTGTGATAAGACCTTTCTTTGGGTATCACCAAATTTGACCTTTTGACATTGACCTTGGAGTTTGAACCGCTTTTACACAAAAATTTCAAACTTTTACTTTGGCCATATCTTTTGAACAGTAGATACCAGGACATTTATACTTCACATTTGTATTTTTTGTTGAAAGACCTTTCATTGGATACCAACATTCTTGAGCTTTTGACCTTGATCTTGGACATTTCCGTACTTGTGAAAAAACTTCAATCTTGGCCATAACTTTTGAACAGTAAGGGATAGGGCTTTCATACTTCACATATTTAATCCTTGTGAAAAGACCCTTTATTGGATAACAAGAACTTTGAGCTTGGAGTTTGACCTACTTTTAAAAAGCAAATAACTTTCAAAGGTTAGGGGTAGTGCTTTCATAATCTATATATTTAATCCTTGTAACAATACCTTTATATTTGATAGCAAGACCTTTGACCCTTTAACCTTGACCTTGGAATTTGACCTACTTTTAATTTTTTTTAACCTTGGCCAAAACATCTGAACGGTTACGACTAGGGCTGCAACACTTTACATGTGTATTCTATGTGGCAAGACCTTTCATTGGATACCAATTACCTTGATCTTTTGACCTTAAACTTGGAGATTTTTATACTTATTGAAAAAACTTTAACCTAGGCCATAACTTTTGAACGCTAAGGGCTAGTGATCTCATACTTCACTTATGTAATCCTTGCCAGATGACCCTTCATTAAATACCAAGACCTTTCACCCTTTGACCTACTTTTAAAAAGCAAACATTGACAATTACTTTTAAAGGCTTAGGGCTTTCATACTTTACATATTAAATCCTTGTGACAAGACTTTTCATTTGATAGCAAGTCCTTTGACCTTGGAGTTTGACCTACTTTTTAAAACTTTTTACCTTGGTCATAATTTCTGAACGGTTAGGGCTAGGGCTTCTACACTTTACATATGTATTTTTTGTGGCAAGACCTTTCATTGGATACCAATGACCTTAACCTTTAAGATTTCTGTACTTATGAAAAAAACCTTAACCTTGGCCTACTTTCAAATCTAAAATTGTATTTCCAGTGTGAAAATACAAATGTACCCTACTTTTGGTACCAATATATTAAATTTGCATTTAAGAAAAAGTTTAATCTTTGCTATGTTGCTATACAGGGGAATCAGTGTTTCACAAACACATCTTGTTAGAGTAAAATCTGTAGCTTCCTGACCAGGTTTGGATCAATTGTCTTCAAAGGAAAATCATGCACAGTCACCCAACTATGAAGTTTGGTTTACATTGTGGTTTAGGCTAAAACCTTCTTTCAAGGTGTGAAATATACTAATTAAAAGTTGATAAATGTACTAACAGTAAACATGTTCATCACAATCCAGTCTTTCAATAATACAACACAAGTAAAATAATTCATACAATTTATTCTCTGTACAAAACACAAGTTCATTAAAAATATGTTTGAATAAAATAATGAGGAAATGCTGCTGGAGATGGAAATTGAATATGGCAGTAATTAAAAAAAAAATCGGGTATTGCTTTTAATTTTTTTTTCTTTTCATTACAAGGGTTATTCCTTGTTACCAAGAATCCTACTTTTAACTGCACCACATACTCAAAAAAAAAATGAATTTTGAAAAGAATAAAAAAAAAACAAAACAAAACATTAGTCTGTATGTGAATGAGGCATCAAATGACAATTCAGACGTACAAATAACATTTGATCCAATAAAATCTGTTATATAATTTTTGGACAAACCTGTACATACTTTGAACCATCAATAACAACAGATATACATACAAAATGAAGTTCTTAACACCAAAACAAATGACTTATATAAAGAAACAATAAATAGTAACAATCAATAGAACAGACAGGACCATGTTGCCTAGCTAGTAAAACATACACATCAGATGACATACATTACAATGATCAAATCGTATCTCCTTAGCAGGTCACCTTTCAATTGGATGAGTTACTTTTGCAATTTTCTTTGTTCGGTGAGAGATGGGGGTGAAGTACTGATAATCAGACATACAATCCTCTCACATTCAGTTAAAAATTCTCTATTATCATCCATCACAATAAATAACATTTCTTTGATTTTCTTTAAAATGAACATGCAAGTACATTTTTTTTTCTTTTTCATAAGAAAAGGGTCCATAGAATAATTTGTTCATTAAAATTTGTACATATTTACTTGTTCATGCCATTTAATGGCAAAAGAATCAAATTTCATTTTTCATGGAGGATTTCAATATTCAAATTCATAATAAGTAAAGATCTAGATTACTTTAGTAATTCCAATTCATTAAAAATACACGGCACTGAAAACTACAGCTATTTATAATATTCCACAAAGTCACCTCCAAACATTCAGATTTTAAGCTCTAAGATAAGAAAATAAGAATCTACATGAAGCTTCCTGTTTAGAAAAGTGAGAATCTTGTCTTGTTTGTCCATCTGAGACCACACTTGCCATTTTTAGCCTTTTTCACAACTCCAAAATATTTTTATGTCCAAGAAAAAGTAGGATAAAAGACTGCGGTGCCTGCTCATATCTTGGTGTGAAAGCAAGTAAACTCAATGTCAATGTGCGACTTCACACCTGACTGCTGTACAAATGTACTTAGTCCTAGTTTCTCTGATTCTGAATCCCCAGACCTTTGACACTGTCCAAGTTTGGTTCCACACCTGACAGGTATTTTTAGTATTTAATCCTGGTCCTCTAATTCTGAGTCCCCTGACAGTGGATTCGGTTCTCCTGTGACACTACATCTGTGGAGGATCGCCTTTTCGTAAGCCTTTTGAACAGCTTTCCTGACGTTGGGTTTTTTGTTCTCTAGTAATTTAGCTTTATCTAGTCCAGAGTCCACTCCTAGTGGTTCCAACTTATTCCTCGGTAGCCATTGCCTGATATAAGCAGATAAATGAAAATGTCTTTACATTTTTTTTCTCCAACATGTTTAATATAAACAGTGTTTATTCATCCAGAGTAAAATCTATACATGTACTTTGTTTTAACTCACTGCAATGTAAATAAATTATGGACAGCACCCCTAATATTTTCATGTAATCTTTTATAAGAGCGAATTTACCATGTGCGTTTGGTGTCAAAGAACAGTATGAGGTAGACCGGCTCATCGTACTTTCTCTGGAGAGCTAGAACATCATCAGGTGGAACTGGTATCGGTACACCATTGTGAAAGTAACCCGTTTTTGGCATTTTCGGATTTATAATCTGCAATCAAAAACAAATCAGTAACAGTCTGATTAACTTAATCTTGCCTTGAAATGGTTGTAATAGAATAATGTGGAGATTGCGATTAATGATTTCAGACCTTTTTATAGCAAACTGGAGAATGAAGACCAATTGATCTTTTCCAGGACTTACCAATGCTGGGTACCAAGGGTATCCCCGACACTTAGCCCAAACTAGGTCAAGGGGCTCCAGCGGGATCAAGTCTTCGGAGTCACAGCTTCCACTCCGATGTGCCCGTCCTACAACAAAAACGTCTTAAATAAAGCATCACGGAATGTATGTGAAGCTTTCATGAAAAATCTCAAGTTTGCATGGTGAAAATATATGAATTTAATGATGTATGTATGAAAAATATTCTTTTTTAAATATTTTTGAGCTTATGAGCCACTTTGTTAAAAATATGATTAATAACAAATCTAACTCAAAATGATGAGAAAATAAAATGTAGCAATGAAACTCCAGAGACTGACATACACTGTATGAAAAAGAAATTAAAGTCTTCAGAATTATTGAACTTGAACTCAATCTATTTAGCATTGGATAATGGTCTTATAATAAACATTGAATTTATTCCTTAAAACTTAATATGTTAAATGTATGTCAGTCCTAGACTTATGTTGTAGAAAAAAGTGAACAACATGCCAAGAAAAATAGAAAAGCCAACAAAAAGAAAAAAATTCAGCCACAGCAAACAGCAAAACTAGAGGATGTACCTTGATGCATGTCAGCTTTGTTCACACCTGTTATACTTGTGTCTGAGTGTGGAAATATGGTACTGTCAGTGTCCGATTGATTGAGATCACTAGACCCCTTTCTGGGCCTCAGTTTACAGTCTGTGATATGTATGAGTTGGGATAACACCCAGGTCTGTTCTGGTGAAGTGACAGGTTTGTCTTGTACACTACCTAGGTCTTGGCATTTAAAATTCTTCAGATTTGGAGAATCTTGAAATTTCTTTGGTATAAACTTTGAAACTCTTGGTCTTAGAGACCGTGCATTTTTGGCATCGTCAAAAATAACTGAACTTAAGTCAGAATGAAAAGTATTTTCACAATAAGGACATTTTTTGGATACACTTCTACAATTCAAATCAGTTTCAACTTTAGTCAGTGGCTTCTTGACCTGACTTCCATTTCTGCTGTGTCCTGGTCTCATTTTCTTCGACAGGCTCGCATTGGAAGCCGCTTTCTCACCAGTCTTTCCTGAAGCTCTTCTTGGAGGGGTAATTTTCCCTGACCTGAGGTTATAGGATTGAACCCCCATAACATTTTCAATCAAATTAGACCCAGTCTGATTCATTGTACCCAGGCTAATAGCCTTGTCACAACGATCAGCCAAAAATATCTCTATACAATCTGGTTCACACACAAGCTTGGCATGCGAGGAAGCAGGGAGAGAGGTGCAGGAGCATGCAGGTATGTTAGTAACAGAGTTCCGCAGCAAAACACCACTATTTAAGAGCTTAGTTGACCCTGATCCATTATCAGGTGCTGTTAAGGAAAAAATTAAAGGTGGAAACTGAAATTGTTTTCTTTCTTCTTTTTTTTTTCCAGTAGAATTAATTTTTTTTAATAAAAGAAATAACATTTTTGTCTCTTCTTTTCCATGCACTTTTAAAAATAAATATTGCAAATTTATTCAAATTTAAATTATTTCTATGTAATTTTTTTCCTTTTTTTTTTAAATAAAACTTTAATTCCTGAAAGATTTGAGTTTTACTTAATTAAATGAATAGGTGAAAATTTACTGATCAATGTTTTGTCCATATACTATCAGTTCCTGAAACTTCGCCCCGTGATGCTCGAAAATGACACTCACAAAGCATGCAAGAAGCAGCGATTTCCCCCAGAAAAACACATACAACTAGCTGTCGAGTCTGTTAATAGCAGTGTCATTCAAATTCAAAGAATATATGCCATTAGCTGCAGTAAATTATCATTATAGATTCCAGTAAGATCAGAAAAAAACAAACTCGACAGTAATGACAACAAGATTTTGGCATTATAACCAGCTTGTATAAGAAAAAAATTAAATCATCAAGGGTATATCAAAAATTGTCTAAAATTTCATCCCCTTTTAGAATTTAAAAAAAAATTGCTGGGGATTGTGGAATGCTTTTTGTTGAGGTAGACGCATCAGGAAGTTTAGCATCCATGTTTTTCAGAGGGAAACACTGCAAAGAGACAGAAGCCTAGTCAGACACAATACATTACATCACCACCCCAATCTTATATCAACCCCTTCCCCCATCACATCTAGTCAGACAAAAAACAATACATCACCACCCCAATCTTATATCGACCCCTTCCCCCAATCACATCTAGTCAGACACAATACATTACTTCACCACCCCAATCTTATATCGACCCCTTCCCCCCCTCACATCTAGTCAGACAAAACATTACATCACCACCCAAATCTTATATTGACCCCTTCCCCCCGTCACATCTACTAGGTAGTCAGACAAAACACTACATCACCATCCCACTCTCGCTTGTCATCTAGCCAGACATTTTTATGTCTGATTTTATCCCTCTCCTACACAGATTCCCTCCAACATTAACATAGATGTCATAACAACTGGCGATACAACACCATATACACTGTATGTACTGCCTCTTAATTTATCTTACTGACTCATGTCCTTAACTAAACAGGCCAGCAACATTAATTACCAACAAATGCTTCTTATGATCTGATATGTTTTCATTAAGATTTCATGACTATTAAATCCCTCAAAATTACAGTTATGGTTAATACCAATACATACACGTATAAACACAATCACAACCAGCACAAAATCTCTAAAAGCTAAAACAAAAGCATGTTATAATTAGTACATGTGCACTCTACACTTGGTGTTGTTATATGATTGTGGCTATAGTAGAAGCTCTATGACACCACTATGGCATTGTTATATGTGACAGCGAATGACTACGGTGGTTATTGTGTCTGAGAGGGGCGAGGTTTTCATGCTTACCATGGTGACGTGTGGCGGGGGAGGCAGAGGAATCACTCTCCGTTCCCTCCTCAGATAATTTGGGGAGTCCATTTGAATTTACTTCTAGAACCAGCAATGAAAAAAGCACGCACCAAGCATGAGTATGACATGCTGAACCGAGAGCATACAAGAACACAAGCAGAGGGGAAAAGCACAAAGCATCTGACATAATGACCAAAAATTCTATAAAACATGATTTAACCTTTCCACTTCATTTTCCAAAAATGAAATTTTTGCAATCAAAGTATGATAAATAGCACAGTACAGCCGAAATGTATATACATATAAAAACTTTGCATTTGAATTTGTTTTTGCCACATTCCAGAAAGATGCTTTGTACTAGCCACATAATCATGATTAAAAAAAATCCAGTAAATAGTGACACATTAAAAGCCTTATTACTTATACAAGTGCAACTTGAAAAGAATTAACAGAACATTTAGATATATCAACAATGAGATTCCTACCTGTCCATTGAACCCTATTGCCCACTGCAACAGGACCAACTTGAACTATGTGCTAACACAAATACTGAACAATACATACTGTGCATTCCCTAACTGTGTGTGCATTCCTATCATTTTCTCAGCTACTGAGTACGATATTTACCTGATCGACTGTTAGAACTTGAACTCCCGAGGGAACTGTCTGTTAGAGACTCATCACTGGAACTGATCACAGAGGTGCTGTCTGACTCGGACGAGCTGCGTAGATTGTCTGGACCTCGGTAGTAGCGAAAACTGTCTCTCTTTGTGATGTCTGGTGGGTCAGAGAACGACAAGGGCTCGCTCAGAGAGGTGGTTCTTTTCGGTGGAGTTGGTCTGGACTCTCTGTCAGGGGAAGTAATCGCGCTAGCTGAGCGTTTCCTGACCCCTGGACTCTTAGGACTAGTTGGTCCTCTGGAGGAGGAGCGACCCGAGGTCATGGGCTCCAAGACCGGAGGTTGTGGGGAGTCTGTATGGTCCCCCTTCTGCTTTGAGGGGCGGCCACCTTTGGAATTCCTGCGGGGTGGAGTAGAGGGTTGGGTAGGAGTTCCTGGAGAACTAGGAGCAGAGCTATCGTTATTCTTATTGTTGCGGAAGTTCTTTTTCCCAAACAACACAGAGGTCCGCCTGTTTACCCCACTCTGTGTTGGGTGGGAGGAGTTGCTGTCCTTGGAGGAGGTACTGGAGGATTCTGTCGTCCTTGAACTGTCAGATGACCTTCTCTTTTCTATAATGAAAAACAATCCTTCCTTTTCACAATTTCATTTTCCTCTTATTATACCTGCATAAAAATGCAGACAAATATAGATGTTTGGCTCTCAAAAAGCTGAATTTTATTTTCTATATACACATGAAAGTATCAAGCAAAACTACATCTCTTTCCTTAGGATATCAAAAGATCCAAATTACAAGAACAAATTAACATCTACCATAATAATACACACCAATAAGTCTAGCTCCTACTAAAGGAGACTCGCTTTCTGAATCGTTGCGGCTTTTTCTGGGCCGCCCCACTTGACCACGCCCCCTCCCTCGGCCCCTCCCTCTTGTTGGGGTGTCTTTGGAGGATCCCTTTGGAGTGGACTTGTCTGCTGACTTTTGAGACTTAGGCGTGTGTGAGAGATCAGGCCCATCCTCTTGTGCTGATTCGTCATTGTTGTCTGAGGCTGTGGGGAAATCAATACAACATTACAATGTACTTCTAGAAATCTGTATGAAGTATTCAAAAGAGTTACCTCCTATAATTAACCTACCTCACAGCCCTTTTTAAAACATACCAGTATAATGAGACACACTCAAATTTTCTCTTATCTACTAAATTCAAACACAGATTCACCTTTAATGTTCTACTTTCAGTATATCAAATGGTTACAAATTTCGCAACCCTAATGGTTTTTTTTATCATCCTAAATAGAGTTTTTTTATCTATCAACATTGATAATACCGAATTATCCCTGAGTTGGTATAAACTAGTCACCAGTCAGGTATTTCTTGTTATCTCACCTGTTTCGGCCGTGTCGTCTAGGTCACTGGTGTGCTGACCTTTCTGAATGGCCAGCTTCCTTCTCACCTTCACAATCTCCTTCCTTATCCGTCTGGCTAACTTAGATTTACCTGCAATAATCAACAGATATAATTATCAATAGATTTACAAATAATAAACATAATTTTTTTTAATTCAGATAAACTCCACTTAGGCCATCTGTAAAAGAATGTTTGCTTGCCCTCTCCCGTCTTAGGGTTAAATTATTGGGTTGGTAGGTAGGTGGGAAAATCTTTTTTCCAGAACATTTTAAAATATTTGTTGACTGGATAAGAGGAAAAAAGGGAAACAAATACAGTGTCCTGGAATGTAAAACAAAAGTTTAGCATCGATTCATTTTTAGTCAGTCGTTCGTGAGAGGGCAACCAAACAATTTTTTAAAGATGGCTTTATATAAAAGCAAAATCTCATTCATTAGGGCAAACCTGGTTTTCTAGAGGAGTTTGCCACGTCCATTTTGTCAAGCAATATTCTAAGCTGTTCTTCAAGAGGCATGCCATCTTTTTTGTCCTCTAAGAAGCTATCAACTGAAGAAAAACAGGAATCTTCTTTAGTTTTTATAATTAAATCTGCCAAATTTTTTACCATTTGAAAATCCTTTTAAAACTCAAGCTTACTGAAATACAAAGGAAGTCCCTGTCCTCAAATGTATCAAATGGTTGCATTGATTTAAACTTGAAATCAATTTTTTTTAATAAAAACTCAATCAAAAAAAAAAAAAATCAACCAAACTGCCAATAAAAAATTGAATGGGTGTAAAAATGTATTTGGAAAGTGAGCATAAATTGTCTTTTTCATCTAACATGAATCTTGGTGACATAACGCTCAAGTTCCAGGTAACTGTATTCTAACACCTGTTAGACGCCGTGAAAGAGACATCCAATGTTCAACTTACTGTCTTCTAAGACAACGGGTTCCGGGATAGTTGGTACTTCTTCCATGTGTAGACCAGTGGCAGGGTCATACCCCACCCTCTCCGCTGTACGCCGGGCAGTCCGGATAACAGCCCCACCCTACAATATCACAAATATTTAATTACCTTTTTTGTGTTTATTGATCAGTACGTAAATCTTATTCCAATCACATGAAATACTGTTTAACTTAACGGGACTTTTCTATATGACATAATTTCTGTGAAAGTAATGATCCAAAACACAGTTACATTTGATCTGCAGTGTCCTATTGTGAATCTCCTTGTGTATATTTGAGTTATCTTTGCAAACTTGATTAACTCTTTTCCCCCTAATGCATTACATCCTTTACCCCCTGATGCCACCATTTGACGCTATGCCCCATTTCCCTGATGCCACCATTTGACGCATACACACAACAACCCTAAATTAGCTCTGTGATTTCCCCTGTTTCTAAATAAATTCAGTTTTAAATGATAGCCAATCATGTGTATTACACATTAGGTAATGTTACTATAATTAGTGAAGTCACAGCTTGGTGTGAATTCACTTGAGATTTACCTGTGTGAAAACAATGGCCCCCAGTCTGTTTACAAGAAGAAATTGGGCCTTGTCACAAGCAAAATTCAGCCTTAAAATAGCATTTTATGTAACATACCTTGGATTGTATTAGCATTCACAATGTTTTCACATCAGTTCTAAAGTTGAATTTAATTAATAGAAATAAAATTTTACAATGAAAGTTAGAGGAAGAACATCATAGAATCTTTAACAAAAACAACAATGGCGGCCACAGATTTCCCATGCGTTTTACGAGTACTAAATAATCTACTTTCAGCGTTTTTTTCATCAGGGCATTGATTTAGATAAAAACATGTATTAATTTATCCCCAAGACTTTTGCAAGAAGTGGTCAACTAAATATATAAAATATTTATAAACATGCCTGCTTGAACATGATTGTGAAGTTTAGTTGGCTCAAGTATAAGATAATTACCTATCATTATTAATCTATCTTAATTAATATTAATTAAACAAAAAATAAGGAGCCTTTTAATTGGTTTGGTATTATATTTTAAGTTTACTGGTATATCTTATAGAAAATTTCTCTCATAGAAAGGATAATATGAAGATTAGTTGTGAAAAATTCATTTTACCTGGTTTCACCTATATATTGTTAATTGTAGATTAATTATTCTTAGAAAATAATATGACAATACTAAAGTTCAATCCATTCCTCAAACATTGATATATAATATGTGACACTTTGATGATGTTTAGGTACTTAATTAGCATGTTCTAAATGTAATGGTCAGTCATTTCAAGTCAGTCAAAATGGCTTCAGGGGGCAGCCAGATAAACACTCTAGGGAAATCGCAAGTGCGTCAAATGGTGGCAACAGGGGGAAAAGAGTTAAATAAAAATGTTAAAATTTTTCTTAAAATTTTGCAAAAGATTGCACAAATTGCTTTGTTGCAAATTAAACCTGTTATACAGTATAATTTAAAATTGCAAGTTGGATATGTACTACAATGACTGAATGGTAAAACAAAAAGATGAACCACATTGTTAGCACACCTGATCTCTTAGTTTGACAGCAGCTCTATAGAACACTGTGTCTTTAGCATTATACTTCATACAATTCCTAATGATCTGGTCGAAATCGGCCTCAAACTCGTCCATTGTGCGATATTTGTGACTGTCAATGTTAGTCCGCATTGTCTCAAAGTCCATTGGTTTATCTATGTACTCAAGATAGTCTGGAACCTGTCAAGAGAATTTTATTTTGTTTTACGGTGTATAAAGAAAGCATGGCATATTTAATCGGTGTCACAGGTTATAAACATAGTTTTATGCAGGTTGCATATTTTTTCAATGATGAAAAAATTTTGCATTAAAAATTGTGCATCAGTTGTTCTGTTATTCCATGTAGACTTTTTGTGTTTGACTTTTTCTGATTCGCCACACAGGTAGGATTTTCCTCATTATTTCTTTCATATTTTGAGTTACTCCCCTTTCAAAATCTATGCACGAAAATTTCAGACAAAATGGCATAAAATGAGAATTTCAGGTTTATTCAGTACTAATGCTAATAATTCATTTTACCTCATCAAGGGACACCGGTTCTGTGAAAAAATTAGAGGAATCTTTCTCCACTAGTTGCTCAAGAGTGGAGCGCAATAACACAGCAAAAGGCTGAAGCTGCAACTCCATAGCCATCTGATGTACCTTTAACTATAATGAAAGAAAAGATATGGTCAACTTTCAACATTTCTCAAAAAAAATAATCATACAAAAGTAGATAGATATTTAATGTTTTTAATTGGAAATCTTTGCATTTCACAAGTTGGACAGAATTATTTGATATTTTCGAAAACAAGTGAAAATATCTGTCTTACGAGTGAAATAAAATCTCTTTTCTACGATATACAATATAGCACTGAATTTTTATTTACAACAATTTCTGATTTGCCTTCATCTTCACGAAACCTATTGTCACAGACTGTAAACCTCTTTCATAAAGGGAAGGAAAATCTCAAGTTGTACTACAGTTATGAATTTTTTACCAGTGACAAATTATCACTTTAACATTTATCACTTTATTCAATAGATAAATTACAGCATTTTACTGATTTTTGTTTTTCAGAATGTTGTATTAAGAATTCATCTACATTTTTGCATCCATTACTGTTTTATATTGTGGTACCTGCTCCCTCTTGAGTTTTTCTCGCTTCCTGATCAGTTCTACCAGTAGTCTAGCCTTCTCCAGATCCTGTCTCAACCTTTGCCAATACTTCAGCTGCTCTTTTAGGGCGTTACTCTGTTTATCATTTTTGGTCTTCAAAGAAAAAACGAGACTTCTTAAAAAAAATATTTCATACTTATTTGAACTTAAGAATACTGATTTTTAAATAATTTTTGCCATACAAGATAATTAATCTTGGATACAATAAAACAAATCTTCTTGTGGGGGGGGGGGATGTTGCTTTTAAGCAGGAGTAAGGCTCTTTTTGAGGGGAATGGGCCTGAGAGATTATTTTTTACCTCATGCTTGTTTCTGGTCATGTGATTTGACTGTAACCTCCTAAGGAGGGGCACACCATTTCTGGACTGCCTCTTCAATGTCCAGTAACTCAACAACTTAGTCAGGAATGGCTGCTTCTTAGGTAAGCTGATCATGTTGGTAATTTTGGACAACCTTTAATTTATGAAGAAGGAAAAAATTTTACACACTAAAATCTACTATATCATTAGCATTAATTTTACATTCACTAAACACATAAAAATTCATAAATCCTTTTTTTATTTGGATAACTTGGTTCATGGAGTTCAGTGATTCTATAATTAGCAAACTCAAACTATGTCTATTAATAAGATAACATCTTGAGTCCAGAATGAAATTTTTTTCTCAATACATTTATATGGATCTATGCATACCTGGATTGTGGAATAATGGGTATAGAAACAACAGGAAGAGCATTACGTTTCTCTGCTAAGATTTTTCGGGCCTTTTTCATTTTTAACTTGGACTTTTCCTTGGCTTTTTTGGCTGACGCTGACTTATTGTCGTCTTCGGAGCTGTCGCCGCCGGTGAGACAAGGCATGCAGTCGGAATCCGCCGGGGTGTGAACATCACAATACACTGTCTTCCTAACACTCACAGTTAATCCACTAGCACTAGATTCTTTGATAGGTTCAATTTTCATGTAAAGTCCTGCTTGTTGAGCACAAGTTACATGAAATGCTGTATAACAGTTTGTTTTGTGACACTGAATACATGCCCCCGTACCTCGTTGCTTACAAATGTAACATGATAATTTCCAACGTGCTGGTGGGATATTATCAAAACTATCTATAGGTTCTAAAAACACTGTATTTGCAAACCCTACTTCTGGAATCCATAAAGCACACACGACATGCGCCCAGCGGCCATCGTCAGTCTGCTTGAATGCCCCACCTTTGTTTGGACACAGACAACAGTCTACGGCTCGAGATGGGGATTGTAAACACCTCCGACAGAGCCATTGTCCCTCTGGAATATATGGTACACCATAGCACTCCTGATGCACTGCTAAATTACACATGTCACAGAATAAAATCACATTACTGTTCTGGCATTCACCGTCTTGACAAATATTGCACACTGCATCCTCATCTATGGAAGGACCTAGGTCCTTTCCTGAAGTTTGACTTTGAAAGAAGGCCTCTTTCTCAAATCTGTCCATTAGCAACTCAAAGTCTTCTTGCTTGACCTGAGCAATGCCATCTTCTTTCCTACTTTTGTTCAGGATTTCTAACCAGGCATGGTCCTATAAATGATCAAATTAATTTAGAAAGCCATAATAAATTTTCAAAATCGATTTATTTACTTGCATGCTTGATTAAATGACAAATGAAATCAGGGGTTGTACCTAAAAACTAAATCAGCAGGGTACATTAAGAAAATCCCTGTAAAATACATTATTAATATAGACAGGTTAGTACCCCCCAGTCCAGGGGAGGGACAACCCTGAGAAATACGCTATTATTTTACCTCTTCATCCATGTCATATTCCACTTCCTCATCCAGCTCCTCCGACGACTTCTCAATATAGCGATAGTATGAATTCTGTCTGTTTGAGATCTTGTTTGGTTTGATGTAATCATCTATGACTTTGTACTGAGCCTCTGGTAATTTTACTGTAGATTGACCCTGGGGTGGTGGCTCCTTGCGAGCTTTCTGCGTTTCACTGACCTTCGTCTTTAGCGGAGTTTTCTCAGCCTTTTCCTCTTTCTCTGTGTTGTGGTGGTTGTCAATCTCATCCTGAGTAATGATTTCAAGAGGTTCATAGATATTTATTCTGTGAAGTCTACCCTCTAAATCAATTTCAACCAGTCTCTGAGCCTCAGCATATGTAAGAGTTTCTCTGCGTTGTGGGACAACAAATTCTGGTGGTGTAGGGGACCGACGCATAGACCTGTGGTGGCCCCACTTCGTCTTTTTCTTTCCAGGTTTCTTCCCTGGTGAAGGGGAGTTATTTTCTGGATTGTCATGATCAAAGTTGTATAAATGAAACTGAATTCCACAATAGCTTTTGTAGATTTTCCCACATGATCTTACTGGGCATTCATACGGAGGCTTTGTCGCCTTCAAGTTTTGGCAAAACTCCTTTACATCAAAATCATACACCATCTTGAAGTGAGTAATATATCATTCCTCTTCATAGCCTACAAGTACAAGAAAGTATTATATGATGTGAAAAAGAATTATTTTATGTAATTTGTAGACATGACAGCTGATCCTTTGCTTGTTAAAATACAGGTATGGACTTGTAAAAGTTTTGACTAAGAAATCAATCAAAATCAATCACAATTTGCCTTTACAATAATTACACATCCCTATCAGCTGCTCTCTAGAAATCACTATTCTGTGAACATATTTATAATCCAATGCATACAATTTCCACAGCAGATCCCTATGAAACTTGCCAATGTTAATACTGAACAACAGATGCCTCATTTAACCTGCAGAGCCCTGCAACATGATGTCTCACCATTCAGTGACAAATAAACACAGCTGCCACACAAGATACATAATCAGTAGGTATTGATTATTGGTAAAACCTTTGACCTGTGTACTTTATCACTAGAAACGCTAACAAAGGCCTCATGAATATCTCAGAACAAAGAAATGGGGATGCTTGTTGGAAAAAAAAAAACTTGGACAGGAAATCACAGCTATTAAAAGAGTTTCCTGTTGGAGGATCATCCGACAAAATCTCACAGGAAGTAAACACTGGTTCTATTTATAGATCACGACCCATGTTTTCTGCAGAAAGAAAATCCCGGCAAGGAATCCCATTCTTGAAATGTGCCTTTGCTTTCATATTACGAAAACAAACGATGAAAATACACCAAGTAAAATCAATTCTGCCTAGCGCGCACTACACCGCAACGAGATATCACCTAAGCCTGCGTCGACACGCACAAAACGGGCGCAAGCAACAAGCCATGGTCGATTTAGCGAACAATGAAAACCGACAGGCTAACACTTACCCAGCGTGTACATTTGAGAATCATTGATATATCTTGATAAAATTTACACCATAGCATTCGCTAATCTCCACTAAATATTCCTGTATTGATTAAAATTACGCCACTCATCTCTAACTTATGTAAAAGTGGCGTTATTTACCTGAATTTTACAAGGCGTCCTCCATCGAATTGTGGTTTTAACCGCTGTGCGCATCCTGATGCGCAGAGTCTTATGAATTCTATTTCCGCTACTGATGGCGCGAAATTCGATCCTTGTAAAATCGATAGAATATTGAGCAGCTACGAGTCAGTGCACAGGGGGATTTAGAGGGCGACCAGGTCACCCTTTTATGTGCAAAATAAAATAAGATTTAATACATTATTTTTTTTTGTAAGTCTGTGGGCTCCTACGGTACCCCGACCCTCAACTGTCTACCCCCATTTCAATTTTCCCCAACTGTTGTTGTTTGTTTTACAAAAGAGAATCAATATTAATATGCTGAGTAGTAATCTCAAAATTTTATTTTTTTCCTTCATTTTGTCATAAACATCTCGCCAGATGAGATATGATTGATAAATGATAAATGCTCACTTTTTTCAGAGACATAACTTTTAAACTTTTAATGTTATTTATGCCTCTGCTTTTTTACCCCCCCCCCCCCCGCTTGAAAAGTGGGAGGGTATACTGTAATCGGTATGTCCGTCCGTCCGTCTGTTATGCTTTGGGGTATCCATCTCTTCTCCGCAACTCCTCTTATACCACTGAGTGAAATTTAATGAAACTTTCACAGAATCTTTATTACTGACATATTGCCATTGTGCAGCTCCTATTTTACTTTTTAATCCGACACATATTTTGGGTTTCCCGCAGCCACAGCAAAAGATGGACTTTGCCATTATAATCATATGAGAGGCGAGGGGGGGTATCATTTAGTAGCTTATTGCTCACAGTACCTCTAGTTTCTACTGAATTAGACACGTGCCTTGGTTGTCAACGTGTATTAGGGGACGACCCATCGTCGCAAACCACGGCCAAAATGTACAATCCTCTCCTAAAGCTACAATGTATAAGCGGACTCCGAACCGCGGATTGAGAACAAAAAAACTGACAAGACCAAAGCTCTTCTTTGTAAGGGATGTGTGGGTTAATAGCACGATCAGGAACAGATTATTTATTTTCTTAATTGTCCAGTCAAGGACAGATCGATTATTCAGTGGCGGATTTAAGGGGGGCGCACACGGCGCCCCCCCCCCCTAAAATTGTCAAAGTTAACGTAAATCACAGTTTTGTCTAGCAAATGTAAACATGTCTACTTGGTAGACCTCATTTTTACCCTACAAAATCTCTAGAACCCAGGAGCTTCGGGGTTCCGGCCAGGGGGGGGGGGGGGAGGGGCTTTTGTAAAAGTGTTTTAATAGTGGTGATCCATGCGATTGATAGCAGTCATTAAAATAAAAATTAGACATCGCTGAAAATAGCACTCAAAATAATTTGATGATTATAAAAAATGATATAATTTCAGCGATTTAGAGCTGATTTTTATTTTAATTAACGAGTGGATTCAGACATATCTATAGGAATCATGAAATGGCACAAAATACCCCATCCACAAACCAAGGGTCTATAAATACCTGGTTATGTGAATTAAATAGTATATGCTGATTTTTTTTTATTTTTTTTTTTTATTTTTTTTTTTTTGTTGTTGTGGAAGAACATATAATGTTTGAATGATTTTAAGCTGAGAATATTTTGGAAAATTATCAGTTCAAAAGGTACAGTGTACAGTGCTGTAAATTTTTTGTACATATACCTTAATCATGTCTTTGTTGTTGAAAAAAGGTTTTTCTTTATATTCCCATGTTAACCTTTTCAATTTGTGGCGCCGCCCTACCCCTGGGGTCATAGATTTGAAGGGAAAAAATGAAATAATACTATATAGTAATCTATGCGGGGATGTTATCTATACGGCTTTAAAATTGTCCATGCATTGCGGACTTACTCGACTACCCAGGGGTCATGATTCAATCTAATTTAAAGTTAGATGTTCCTATACCGTTATTGCATCTGTTCGAGGAGTTGAAGCAGGCTTAGGATTCGAAACATCTAGTTGACTTGAACAAACTTGAATAAACTACATGTACATATAATGAAGCTTTCACACCAGTACTGTTTCCTTTTTTCCGGGGTTTTGAGAAGTTGATAAAAACAAACAAACAAATCAACAAACAAAAACAAAAATTTTTACTTATTCATAATTTTTCCCCTGAAAGATTGTGTGGTCCTTCATTTGAAGAATTCTGAATCCCTTTCTTGCCTTCCTTGAATTCTTGAGAGTTATCTTTCTTGTTCCATAAGTTAACACGCCCTCTTGAAGATGTTTCCAGTTTTGTAGGCTAGCGGATCTTTGGGGGAGTTCGTTCGTCTGTCTCTAAGTCTAGCACCATCTCCTCTTATACCAGTGAACGAAATTTATAATTAATGAGACTTTCACAACATTCTTGTTACATTTAGTGCCATTGGTTGGCATAAAGAAATCTTAGAATACTCAGTATATGAAACATTGTTGATAATTTCACCCGAATGTACGTAATGCATCATAGATTTTTTCAAAAGTGCTTTGCGAACGACAGAAAGAAATATTTCTCCAATCATATAGATATTGTAAAATTCTAACATATTAATTCAAGTTTAATTAACTTCTGAAGCAGATTTATTGTAGAAATTCAAATACAAAATTAAAATCGTTGTCAAAATTAAGAACATTTTTAAAACTCTTTTATGTGTATAACTGATTATATATGCTTACTTCTTTAATTTTTCAAATTTCTTTATACATGTAATTGTCTATTTTTTATTTTTTTTTCATTCTTAGCTGTTATTTTTCGAAGATTCAGGGGTATATCGTTTTGCCCTGTCCATCCGTCTTTCTAGCTGTCTGTTTGTCTGTTCATATCATATATTTCATAGGTATAGAAGTCGGTAAATAGCTCTTCAGAGCTAATGTTCTTTGTTGATGTACCCGACTTTTTTATTGCTTTTTTTTCAAAATTCAACAAAGTGTTTTTGTACAAGCACATTGTGTGTGACATTTTTTCCAAAATCCATGCATATTTGACAAAACCTATTTATTATAAGTTAAAGAAAAATATTACAAGAATAAGGCTTTCTTCCCATAACTTAAATATAGAAACAGGAAGATATCAGAAAATTGAAAGAAGCAATAGAATATGTCAATTTGTAGTGATCACTTTATAGAAGATGAATATCATTTTTTGCTTGAATGTCCTATTTATGAAACTTGATGAAAAAATATATCAAACCATATTATTTCAGATCTCCAAATATGTACAAGCTTACTCAGTTACTCAGCTCTCATGATGTTAGGGTTTTAAATGGTTTAGGAAAATTTATTCTCCATGCAATGGATAATTATAATGAATAATTTGATTTATATGTATACATGTATTATATACTATAGTTATTTTTCATGTAATAATGGAGAATTTGAATTATATTGTGTATTTGTTGGTGCATGGGAGTCAGACAGATGGACACTAGGGGTTCCACCCCCACAGACTCTCGCCACTCGTTCTTTATATTTAATTTTGCTTATACTGATGAGCCGTGTGGCTTAAAGTTATTCAATAAAGAATTATATATATTTGGAAAATTTGACCTCATGACCTTGGAAATTGACCCACTATTACAAGAAAACACTTTAAGCATTGCCATAACTTTTGAACAGTTGGCGCTAGGGTTTTCATTCTTTAAAGATTGTGACAAGATTATATATATTGACCTTAGAGTTTGACCCACTTAAAGATAACCTTGGTTATAACTTTTTGAACAGTAAGTACATTTCATATTTCAAAATGTATTCTTTTCTTCAAAACCTTCCTTTGGATACCCACAATTTTGAACCTTTTGGCCTTGAACTTTGGAGTTTGACTTGCATCAGAGAAGCTTCAACCAGCCGTGTGGCTTAAAGTTATTCAATAAAGAATTATATATATTTGGAAAATTTGACCTCATGACCTTGGAAATTGACCCACTATTACAAGAAAACACTTTAAGCATTGCCATAACTTTTGAACAGTTGGCGCTAGGGTTTTCATTCTTTACGAGTACGTGTTTTCATTGTGACAAGATCTTTCAACATAAGATAATTTTGACCTTGACCTTAGAGTTTGACCCACTTAAAGATAACCTTGGTTATAACTTTTTGAACAGTAAGTACTAGGGCTTTCATATTTCAAAATGTATTCTTTTCTTCAAAACCTTCCTTTGGATACCCACAATTTTGAACCTTTTGGCCTTGAACTTTGGAGTTTGACTTGCATCAGAGAAGCTTCAACCCTCGTCATGAGCAACCATACGAGTTGTTTGTTTATGAGCACCTATTGTACATGTATGAGTGATCTTTTTTTTTGAGAGAGAATACAAAAATTGAAATGACAATTCAGCGCCTCCCATTTTAAAGTTGTTCATACAGGGGCCCTATCCGGAAGTCATCGCTATTAAAAACATGACGCATCGATACGACGTCCACACTTCGTGGGGGGAACAAACCGATGACGTCAGAAAAGTAGTACATTACAGGGGTATATTGCCTCACAAAGTCCTGGTCGCTGCGACACATACTTCCTTCAAATTTTAAATTGGATCGTCGGGGGTTTAAAGTGATTTATGATTTTATTTAAATCAATAAATAAGGAGGGGGGTGTTTGTAAACAAGCAAAGAATTCGGGCACATTTATGCTCCTACAGATTAAATGATTACAGGGCAAGTATTTGTACTGCATATAGAGGCAAGTATATTCCCATGCATATTGCACCAGAAAGAGTCGCTAAGTTCATAAGTGTTTTGTTTACAACTAAGCACATGTAAATATACGTATTACGCAACTGACATTATCAAAGCTTTAAAAAATGAGTTTGGGAGAAACATCGTATCTCTGATAGTGAGCATTTTTTTTAATTACTTGTGAAGTTCACGATAATTTGTAGATTAAAAGGGATAAAAAAGTAAATAAACTGAAGGGTTACGTCATATCTAGCAGCATGTGCGTGTAGAATTAGGGGTGCCAAAGCAGTGAATGGCCGTTTTGCGGTTTTCCTGGCATTGACCAGACCCAATCTACACCAGGGTCGACCTGAGTGTACGAAGGACACAAACAATGAGTAAGGATGTAAGAACAATAGAAGAAGTAATTTCCATGTAGAGTGCAATTGTAAAAGGTTATGGGAAACAATTTTCGACTTTGTTTACGCTATCATTATATTAAAACTATAAAACATTTCAAGTGCTGTAAACAATATGTGTAGTGACAGGTTTTACTGAAACACGAGAGAGAGAGAGAGAGAGAGAGAGAGAGAGAGAGAGAGAGAGAGAGAGAGAAAGAGAGAGAGTTACCTCTCTTGATCCTAACGGATGTATAAAAACTATGAGGGAAAGTATGGTATATTATTTGATATATTTTTTCTGAGCTCAACATCGTTTTGCCCTCCCCCACCTCCTATCGAAGCAGGTCATAGAATCTTTTCATACATCCGATGCTGAGTTTGTTTTATTGACAAAGACCTTCTTTGATCGAAGTAATGATGAATACTTTACTTAAAGAACGCCTTCTGAATGGACATCTTGCCATTGAATCTTAAGGCAGGTGCCCGCCACTTTAAGGACTTGTAAATGACAATACTAACAAAGACTTGGATATATTTCATTAAATTGCTTTATATTTTTAATTTATTTTAATTGTAAATGATGCAGATACTGAGATTGTTCAATCACCGCAAAGTTCAACATTCCATTTCTTTGTATTGACCCTTATAAATCGATCTAATTTGTATACACCACCTAAAAAGAAATACTCAGAAACATTAAAGCAATTATTAAACTTTATGCAGCTTATTTTACTTATATAGAAGTATATCGTGGTTATTTTCGTGATTTTAAAAATAAGTGTTTCATTTATTTAAAAGTTTAAATTTCAATTCAATCTAATCTAACATCTAGATAGATAACTATATACTATCCATATATGTACTTTTTTTTTAAATATATAAACTTTTAATGAAACGTAGATTTTTTGCATGTGCCCTCAATTAAGTATTTACACATCGTTAACGCACTGGAATTATTCTCAAAATAAACCTGTCTTTGTAATTGTATGCTTAGTTAAAGAATGAGAGAATATACGTTAAATGAATAAAATTTCAACATTGATAGGCAAGTAATATTGAATTAGGTCATTTCGCCATTTATATGTGTAAAATATGGATTATCTCCCTTTCAATACATACACTCAACTACTAGCTAATTAGAAAGCTAAAAGGGAATTTTTGTTTCTTTGAAGTATACAGAGTTATTTATTAGAAGTAATTCGGAATATCATTTACATAAATTTTATAAAAGTTAATTTTAAATACTTAGTGATTAATAATTCAGTAGAAAACATTGAATGGTCGTAGACCCAAATGTTGAATAAAATTCTTTTTTAAGTTTAAATAAATTAATCAATTGACAGTCGTTGACCTTCTTTGTAAGATTTGTTTATACTACAAATACACACAATCATTGAGTAGGAAAAAATTGTCATTCATGTGGCAAGACTGGGGGACGTCATAGTCACTGATTGGCTCAGCGTTGGGAAAGGGGGCGTGACCTTCGAAGCTGTACAAAAGGCACATGGTATTTCACTACTTACTTGATCGCGTTTGCTAAGGTTTAGAGTGAGAAGACAAACCGATGGAATTAAAGGGGAAACAATGAAAAAACAATGGCATTTAAACTTTTATACCAAATTCATTATTTGCTATTTGTTCCAATGCTAATTTATGGCCAAAAGCAAACTCGCGAGGGTAATGGTGCAGGTACGTGTTCTTTGGATATTAATATATCAATTACCATAAATATATAATTCATATTTTCAAAATATGACTTACAATTCATAAAATGTCTTGCTTTACTTATTTCAGGTTTACGAGAAGTAGTCTATCCGGTGCGAATCGGGCGACATGGAAATACTCACAGTACACACTTTATATCAAAAAGAAGTTCTAGTTATGTGCAAAATTTTGATTCAAACGTTCAATATGTGCTCCCAGCCTTTGGGAGAAATTTTTCTTTGGACCTTTCTTATAACAAGGAGTTTATAGCACCGACATTAGTAGTGCAATATTTTTCTAGAAATAATACATGGTTTAATGAGAGCTATGAGAATGTTGGACTGTCACGGTGTTTCTATACGGGTCGGATTAACCAAGATTTAAATTCGAGGGCTGTATTCAGCCTGTGTGACGGTCTGGTAAGTACAAGCCGTAGAAAATCTTCATTTAGTAAACCCCCAACCCACCCCAACCTCGACCGGCGACACATTCCGTAAGCATCGAACCTCGCGTGCAATATACTCCTTTTTAAACTTAAAGTTGTCCATCAGTATTATCGTACACGCTTATACTCTATTGAATCAGCAAAAAATCTACACCATCAGCTGAAACATTCCCCTAAGTGCTAATCTTGGCAAAGTTCCGTTTGCAGAAGATGAGCATTGAACGCGATAACCGAGACAGCCAATACAGTGTAACCTGTATTTTTTCTCACTTCTAAACAGAAAAACACAAACTTATTGAAATAGAGGAGGAGACATGCGCGACAATCTCGTAATACGTTCTGTCGTCTGCTGTATTTACAGAGCAGACGTCTGGAAGCCTGTCCGCTGCCGTCTGCCAATCGGTTCATTACATCACCCCATCGCTTAGGCTGCGCGTCGTAATGACCAAATAATCACATAATTAGTTCGACGTCCTGAGGTGAAACATACCAAAACCTATACACTGCCTTAACTCGTATAAGTTTATATTTATCACTTCGAGATGCAAGAGAACATCAATACAGTAAAAGTTGCAAGCTGTGACTTTTTTTTGTCAGTATCGAGCTCTAGGTCAAAGTAGTCGATTCTATTTAAACAGACGATTTGTCATATCTTAAGAACTTCAAAAGAAGATTAGGTCGGGACGCACTGAGGACATTGAGAAAATAAGATAAATGTAGTATAATACTTAGCAGCCCCATACCATCAGGGGACTGTGTCTATTCTCAAAAAGTCCGGAAAAAATGAATAAAGATCGTCTGGGGACCCATGAACTTGAGTGGACTCACGCCGGCCCCATGACGTTGTGAGGATGAATATTTAACCATATCGAAAAACTATAAAATTCAAGAACACGTGAGAGAGAGAGAGAGAGAGAGAGAGAGAGAGATCACGTACAGGTAAGTTGCTGATTACTGTAGGTAGACCCAGATGATGACGTACACGAGCAGAATGATATGATATGGCAACAAAGTGTTCACTGTCAACATTTAAACATGTAGGTCCTGTCGGTGCAAAACTCTTTAAACATGAATAAAAGTTAGAAATGGTCCGTCCAATGGAGGACAAAAATCCAATTAAAAAGAAACATGGTTTTGTTAAGCAACCATTTAATGGCCAGATTTACAGTGAATTACACCTTATGTATGTAATCATTATGCTTCATCTGAATGCTTTTCATGTAATATAAAAAAATGACCTCTGCGTTCTCAGTGTATCTTTAGTGAGAAACCAGACGATTCAGCAGAAATAGGGTTATGGTGTACATTCGTCAGTTATAATATAAACAAAGATCGGTTTAAGCGAATCAGTGCAAGACTTGGTACAAAATTATACAAATGACCACGACTGTAGGCAAACGGAAATTAATGAGATCCCATGAATCCTAACCGATTTACAAACACAGATTCTATAAGTGATCAGAAACACCTGTGAATTGTTATAAATCTCTCTCTCCACTGTCTTTCTCTCTTTCTCCGAAGCACCTTTACGACATGTAAAGGAAATATCACTTTTGTTCTTTAAAAAATGTATGTCAGAATGCATGACACGCGAAAATATAGACACCCCACCCCCAACCACGACCACCATGTTTGCACACGTTAGAATATATATATACACTTCAAGCAAATGGCGAACTCGAATATCGGTGTTACGTGAAAGGGACTGCGACCTAAAAATATGGCACCATATAGTATCGCAGAGAGCAATTAGAATCTCCTAGAGTTGCACTCTTGCACTGTGCTCGCCTTTGTAACCACTGTAGAAATATTGTTTGAACGACACTAGAGTCAAGTTTGTTTTTCGGCAACTTGAAAAGACTCAAGACAACATAAGAGGAAAAATAAGGTCAATATTTGCCAATCAAGGCCTTGATTCATCTTCTGATCAAATGAAAATATTGAATGTATACGGGTATAAATCACGTTATGTAATTTAGTGCCTATGGCCTGTGTAGTGTACAAACAAAAGCGATTTCTCTGAAGATCAGCGAAATTTTATGGTTGCAAATCACTGGTAATTAGATGTACCAATATACCTAGTGAACATGCAATTGAAAGAACAAGAACTAGAAACATATAATTTGGTTTTCTCCTCTCCATTACGTTCTTTACGGAGCGTGTTTATCAGCAGCAATAATCAATTTACCATATACATTAATCGTTCCTTTAATAGATGTAAATGACCTCCCAATTAGACGGAGCGCGTATTTACGAAATACTAGAATTTTCTCCTCACATTGATCCTACATTTCCGTAATTGAATTTGCTTCTCCAAACGCGAACAGCTTAGGCTATGGTTCTCATGTAAAACTAATTGAACTCTTTCATCCTTTTGGTTACTTTGCAACTTAGACCTATCATGTGACCACCCGAATTTGTCACGTGACATGTAAATATGGCGTCTTTGCGACTTTTAGTTGCAGACGAATGACGATTTTACTGGGCTATATTTTGTAGCTTAGTTTCATAGTTATTCATTCTTAACACGGTTGTGTTATAAAAAACATTCATCACAAATTGTAGGGGGAGGAAAAGAAGTCATAAAAGCATCAGAGATGGCAAAGACGTGAAAAATGACCCAGTGAACACGCCAGTTCACAGAATCCCTCGGGGTTTTCTAACAGCGAATATACAGAGTAATACGTTGATTCGCGGCCGTTAGAAAATGTCAAACTGTTTTTAGACAGTATTCAGTGATTATTCTTAAAACGGTCTATTAAACAAACTGTCTATATGTGGAGAAACTTTTTTTTCCAACAAAGTAGGCCAAACCGATTAGGCCTGAGCAAATTTTTGCAAAATAATGATCTTTATAAATATCCTTATATGACATATAAGATAATATGTTATACCTTAAAAGGTCGAATGAATGGTGATTTTTTTTATTAGTTTATATCATTCTACATTCTTTTCAGACGGGAGCCTTCCAATTTCAAGGAGAGAAGTATATAATAGAACCAAGTTCAGAGCTTAGACCATCGACATCAGGAAGTCTGCCTCATTACATCTACAAACATTCACATGTACATAAAAATAGAACCCAAGAATCTCACTGTGATGTACAAGGTAGGCAATTCTTCCCTTTGTGTGTGTTTGTTTGTGTGCACTGTGCAAAGGAGGAGGGGGGGGGGGTAGATTAAATCTACCAGCAACTTTAAAATCTGATTTTTTATATAAATGTAATGTTGATTGAAGAGAAAGAGAGGAAGAGAGTCTACTTCCCCTTTTTATTAACACATACACAGGGACAATTTGTTTTAAATTATAAGATGGTCAATCTTCCTGTCTTGTGAAGTTTTTGTAGCTGTTACACAGGACTGTGTCTTAAAAACAGAAAGGAAAGACATTGAAACCCACAGTTTAGACCAGCTCTTGCATACTATGATTCGTATACACTTACGAGCCAGTGGTTATATCTATAATGCTATTCAGGAACGTATTGGCCAGGCCACACAAAGCATCTTTCACTGAGGGTTTAACTTATAATTGAATTAGTGTTTTGAACAATAACTTTTAAGATCAACTTTTTGACTACTGGCATAGGGTCAAAATAAAATGATGAAACACACAAGAAGATTAGCATTGTTCAGAGATCGTAATCCAATAACCAGGCATAAAGATTAACTTCTAGTTGTTATTAGTAGTGACCAGGACACATTTAAAGCTAGAAAGTCTCATGCCTCTTGAGGAGATCAATGGCTTGTACAGGAGAAAATTATTTAACAATTTCTATCCTTTGCTATTACATGTAATTCTGATGAATTCATCATGAATGTTAATAAGAACTGTCAAAAATTTAATTCCCCATGATACTCTTTGACTTTTTTATTGCAGAAAAGGCTAATAATTTTTTCTATGTTTTATGTACATATTGACCTTTTTTTGGTCTATCAATCATATATGTATATATGTATATTCAAATTTATGGCAATTTTTTTTGGCTATTACAGAAAATTATATCAGAGACTTAAATTTTCAATTTTTTTTCCTCGGATACATCTACACACATTGAGCACAAGTCATATTTAATTTCATGCAGGTAAAGGTAAACTTTAACTGAAATTGTCCAGATTGACAGAAAGCTAGGGTCAGATTAGTGCATTACTTTGTTGTGACGGGATTTGGTTGATGTCTGGACAATTTGCGGTTTGACAACGAATCTCAAACACTATAGAAATTTCTGAGATCAACAGTGTAGATTGTATTTCTTTTGAATGGTAAAGTTTAGATTTTATTCAGAAAACGTGAGAAGAGCAATTTCCACAATAGATATTAAAAAACTTTTTCATTACATGCTTATAACAATTTTTTTAATGAATGAAGTACACTGTTTAGTTTTGAATTAATGTAGTGTTAACTTGCAAGTTCACTACATACATTCTAACACTTTTAATTTAATTAATTCACTTGTCCCTTTTCATAAAAGAAAGCCAATAAATATTTTTAACCCCACATTTGTATTAAAAGGAATTCTTAATTTTTTAATCCTAACTCATAATTCAACTTTATGAGGCTTGTTTTCCAACCTCAAATTTAAAGTTTTTTACAGAAGGAAAAGTATTTGCTGTTTTAGTCAATTTGTGATATTATTAATTGTTACGATTATTCATTGGCATATCAATAATTTACTAGCTACAGAATTTGGTGTCAGATCTAGGAGTAATACTTTCATATGAGCTATCTGTGCATAACCTGTTATGCCAGCTAGAGTATCTAAATATAATTATAGATATGATCAGATTGTATAACTACACGTGTAAATATGATTTGCCTTATACACTTCTTTGGGGTTTCCAGTCATAAATTCAGTGCAGTCAAGTTTAAGTGCAATTTTAAGAGGGCACTATATGGTGTATTTTATGGTAATTTGTGGCTCAGCTCTTTATGTTTCAGGGATAGTAATGTGTCTATCTTACAAGCTTCACTACGTGATCAGTGGACCAGCTTTGTGATCAGTCAAGTTAAGGTGACATAAATTGGTGTAAAATAGTAAATATCCCCCTTTTTTACTCTCATTTCTATGAATGAAATTCCATAGATGTGTGTAAACAATGAGTAAGGAGAAAGTTTGTGGCACCTGTGTGTACAAATTGTGAGAGACTTCATTAGATGTTTAATTTCTAAGTAGCTCAGAAGTCAGTGACATTTTCTGAAACATATCAATGTTGCCTAGATCGTATGGGTCATAAAATAATGAAGTGATTTCTCAGGCAAAAAGACACCATCTATGTTGCACATGTTTGTAAACAAACTTCAAAACCCCTAATGGACTCTCTCTGTCAGTATATGTTAGCGTAGACACGTCCCCGTAATGCGTGATTAACAGATGGCAAATGGTTTTTTAAACTTCATCCACTCTGTAATCAAATTTTTGAAGACACTTTATAGCCACTTCTACCTCCTCCAGTAGCCTCACACAGGGACTTGATCCCCCCATGACTCGTAGACCATTGTTATAATGGGGTGAACAGACTAGAAGTTGTATGAGAATTTCTGAAATTGCTACACTAAACAATCTCTTTGGACCCTGCAAGTGCTACACATGCATATTCAGGATGCTTGATTTTACACAATGAAAATATTGTCCCTGCGTTCACCTTGTGGTTCTGAAATCAAAGGCTACGTTTTATAAAGTAGGCCCTTTAACAAGTAGCTGAAAATTCTTTCAATATCTGACCGTTTTCTACTTAAACACTCTCCCTGTCAATATTGTACAGAAGTTCTAAGAGGTGAGTGAATAAAATTGAGATTGCCTATCTTTATGCTTTCTATGGTGAAATAGCTGGAGTACTATAATGAGGCAGTGCATATCTTATCTGGACCTTATAAAAAAAACTGTGAACAAGTTCAGGATGACTTTAAGAATTTATGGACGTAATATAGATTTTCACTCCAAGAAAGTTTTTGATCAGCACTTTGATAATCTAGCTTTTAAACTTGCTGGTCTATTGTAAAATATTGGATAATGAAACCGATGAATTTGGTCATCCATCCATATTAAGGTTCATTATGAATCCTGAATAGATTATAAAAAAGAATCCATTACTGTTTGTAGAATAGATTCTGTTTTGTCAGACAAAGAGGATTATTATTAAAAAGAAAATCTGTCTATCATTAAGATGCTGCACCAAACTTATCTTATTCTAAAATTGTGACAAAGAAAGTAAATAGTTGTGTAATTGCTTAAACCTTAACATTAGCAGTTGTCAACTCATTTGGCTTTGAACATAAAAAAAAAACAACTTTTATTTGAATTGTGACAAGGAAAAAAAAACCATTGAATTTACATATGGATGGTATATGTCCACCCAATAGTTTCTTGCAGGTTCTCTGGCGTTTATATGTACGGTACATTTCTGGTAATGATTCAGCTGGTACTCAGTGTATTTACTAAGGTTGCCAAAGAGCAGCATCGCTCATGTATAAGAAAGTAAAGCAAACAGCCTAGTGTTTGTATCTATGTAATACATGTGGTAATATTGATAAATATACAAGGAATTTTTTGGAGAAGTCGGTGGTGTAGGAGAAATATACTGTTTTAGAGCGGGGACTTCTATTTTGTGGTTGAGTCATTGCTTCTCACTGTTGTCATATAACCGTAACTCATGGGTTGTCTTTGACATAATATCAGCTGACATAATACAGATTATGTCATTAATGCATACCACTTTTGCAGAATCTTCATATACTTATGTAATATGTTGCTCACAATGTACATACAATTTGCCATACCAGTTGTTTAACACAAGCAGGAAAAAAGTTATCTCAAGCCAATTTCTACAGTAGCAGTTTTATGTTTATTTTGATGTTTGGAGCATTTGATCTTTCCATAGCAATAAACTTTGGTATTTATTTAGGTTTGCAGTTTCTTTTTTATTGCACCTAATTTTTACTTAAGATTTGTTCTACACAACTTGCAGAGTAATATCTTATGTTTTTATTGAATCTATTGTAATTGAGTTTTTTGTTTGCAGTCTTCACGAAAACTCGCTGGTCCGAAGACCGAGGCCAGTGAATTTTGATGTCGGGTCAGTGAAAATCAAAATTCAAGAAGTCCGATGGGCTTGTTGAGTATAAAATTATACACAGTCAATTTATATTTTAACTGACTTACTGGCATAAATTTATAAAATAAAAAGAACATTCACGTGTTGTTGAATCGTATTATGATAACCCTATTCGAACATGGATGTATTACGTTACAACCGGAACTAGCTAGTAAATATTAACTAGTACGTAAAATGTGCAGAATTCCAACGAACAACTTACCGAAACGCGACAAAGGACAAATGGCGGAATTTCGAAAGTTGAAGTACATAAACATATATAAATTTACAGTTTTGAAAATGTATTCATTTCATTATTTAATTAAGGGGCCAGTAAAAATTTTGGTGGGCCAGTAAAGTTTGAAAGTTCACTGGTCCGACTGGCCAGTTAGTTTGAAAAGTTTTCGTGAAGACTGTGTTTGTGTGTGTGAGTGTCTGAAGAAAGTTGTAGGTATTGTAATGTTCTTGAGTCTTTGAAGGCATGTTAGTGGGTGTTTTATTGTTCTCGTTTTCTGCATGTGGTGGATACTCTTCTTTGACAACTATTTACCATCACGAAGGCTACATGTCAGATCTGGCAAAGATTGCATGTAGCCAATGTTTGATGTGGCAGCAGTGAATAGGGATCAAAACACACAGAAAATGACAGCACTGCTTTTGTTGTGAGTGGTAGACACACTTAAAACAATGCTTAAGTATCGCAGAACAGATGCTCAAAAATGACCTAATCTGTCTTGCGTCTAGCAAATTGTTTTCAGTTTATTGTGTAAGTATAAATATGGTGACAAGGATACATGTTAGCTTACTCATTGTTTGGTGAGCACAAAATATTTTTATGATATCATAAAGCATTGGGTTTTCTCAAAGATATTTCTTTTTACCTTCTGTCAGTTAGATAAAAGGTATTGCTTGCACCTTACGAACCAGGGCTTGAGATGGGTACACAGATTATGAAGTGTACAAAATTTGCTAGCTTATAAGATTGTCTGAGAGCATTTTAGATTCTTGAAAATGCACTAA